GGAAACAATTTCCTGACTGACTCGAGGGCCGACTTTGCCCCATAGTGAGAACTCCATTCCAGGTAGAGCTTTTTGGCGATTGACCGGGCAACATTGGTAAAGATAGCTAGCGAGCTGTAATACTTCCAGCTCCTTCCAGCAAACTTTTTCAGGAGTGAATCCACCAGTTGTAGCGATGACATTGACACCAGGTGATGCTGGTGCTCCATACAGTTGATATCAAAATAAAACAAGTTCGGCAACTCGTGAGCCAGCACAGCCACTATCTTACGACATGCCAGCTCGTTTGAGCCGGCACCAGTGGTGCATGTAAAGACGTGGTCCACTGTCTGGATGTGCAGCCCGTTCCTGAGACCAGAGATCTGCAAATTGAATCTGTCCAAAACAAGTCAAATACCAAATGTCAAAGAACTCAAACATTCTACAGACTGGCAGACAAATCAAACAAAAGCGAAACAACAAAAAGGCCAGGCGGTTACGCTGTGAGCAAGTAAACGCACACCTCCCCGAACCGTCGAATCGAACAACACACCATCGAATCGAATCGAATGGAAACGTGTGTTGGTCTGTGTTGGTGCTGCCAGTGGTCAAAGACCAATTAAAGGGCCAAGGGTGATCAACAGAAAACGGTTCGACGATTAGACTCCAATTCAACTTGACTGAAAACCACCACGTGCAGGCCAGTACAATAACGGTTCAATTGTTCAACTCAAAATTTCAACCAGGTCAAACTCTGAGGTAAGTTGTCAAAACCACCACGCACGGTGCAGAGGCGGGGTGTCAAATGTCAAACAAGCGTTGAGGGCAAGTACTATTACGACTGGCTTCAAATTCCAAAGTCGGATCTTGTCCCAGTTTGGACAGCCGAGCGATGCCAGCGCTTTGATGGTGAACCCAAGGATGCCAGCAGCCGTCTCATCTTGTATTTGCAGGGTGTCGGACAATTGCTTGATAGTCACTGCGTCGCTTGCCCATGAAATAGGCTGGTCGGTCGGGCGCAAAGCAACGCCAGCCAAGTATGCACTTTCAAGCTCAAGCACACTGCGCTTTCGCTTGGTGTTGGTGGAGTCTTGTCGGTACGAGTAGAAACACTGAGTGAAATGACCAGCATCAAGCGAGCTCGTGACATCGTGCTCCATGTGCAAAAAATGTGCCCTGCTTACAGCCTGCAGGGCGGCTCCGGCTTTGATCTCGCAACGTGACACGGATCGTGGAGCAATATCTTGTAGAATTACCCTCCCGATGTCATCGCACGATATGTTCGACATGTTGCGCCTCACCTGAGCACTGAGCACAAGCCAATCTGTCACCGGTTGCTGTTGCCGGACCCAAGACGCTCCCCACTTGTTTTCCTTCATACCTTCATGACTCACGAAGTTGTTGCTTAAACTCCTAGTAAGCTGTGAATCCCGGTGATAGACGCACCGCTGCGACAAAAAACATTTCTTGGTAGAGCAAACATGTTGAACCGCAGGTTAGACTTAGGGGAACAGGCAATGCCACAAGTGTCACAAGCTCCCAAGGTGGTGTGAAGGACACTTGGGGTCATGGTGGTGTTATTTTTGAGGGCAACCGGAAAATGTGGCAGTTGCCCCGAATGGTGGGACGAGACCAAGGACTGCCCCTAATGGTTCTGTGTCTGTGACATGGCTCGAATGCAATGTAAGGAGGGCCTAAGGAGGGCTTTTCCCCACGCCGCAGCTAGACTAAACAGCAACGTTATAGTTGATGAGCCAACCAACCACTGACCAAACATTGCCAAACATTGGACCAAACATTCCTAGTAGTTAAAAACTGCAATTCTGTTCAACCAGTATTGAACTTTCGAACACCCGTCGTCAACTCAACTCGTCTCAACCTCAACCCAGGACTCAAGCCAACCCAAAGAACAAGCAGTAACAGCTTCAAGCGGCAAGTGGCTGCAAGATTGACGGCGCCGGCCGGTGCAAACCAGCTTCTGCTCTTGCCAGTCGCGCCACCGGAATCGCTAACCCTCGTCACATCCAGCGAGTGAGGCGCTTGAGCCTCTTTGGTCTTCAATTGTTCGCCAGCAAGCTTCCCTTCCAGAATGCTGATTCTGTGTTTCTGCCTCCGAACAGTTTGTAGCAGCATCTTTTTGTCACGGTTGGCGTCCTGCAGCTGCGTGATCTTGAGATTCAACAAGTCAGTAAGCATCTTTCGCTTTGTCGAATCGTCTGAGCTGGAGCCGCCGCCAGAGCTCAAACTGTTGTCTGACTCTGTGGATGGTCGCTGTCTAAAATCTGGACCCTGGCACTTTGCCCGCTTTGCACGGGATGATGCGCTTGAAGGATCAATGGTGATTGGGGTGGTCCCAGCCTGAGCCCGCGTGTGTCCAGCGTTGTGTCCAGCAGGTGGTGTGTGTCCGACATCTGCAGCAGGTGCGGCAGTTGCACCACGCAAAGTTTGTGACTCTGTCACATCAACTGCGGCTCCGGCAGGACTGTCAGGAGATCGGCCTGCGCCACCAGCTTGGCAATGGACAGGGTGTAGTAATAGTTGTTCGCGCAAAGCCTGCCACTCACCATCTTGCAGCGGCATGCCCAGGACGAACGCAGCGTGCGGCACGATGTCAACAAGGAACAGTGAGGAGTCAGCTACGTCAGCTGGTAGCAAGTTGCGCCACTCGTCAGACCAGTTCATAAAATCTGCCCCCGGCAGTTTGTATTGATCCCCGCACGCGGCTAAAAAACCATCAAGTGACATCGGCTGCAAAGGCCGCTGCAAAGGCTGCTGCAAGGGATGCGCCAAGCTTGATAGGATTGCAAATATCACCTCAAAATGCTGAATTGTCATTGCTAGCATGTCGCCCCCCCCACGAATGACCACAGTCTGGAGGAAGTCAACAGCTGCTCTTGGAAAGGCAGGCTCGGGCTCATCTGGCAACTCATCTGACTCATCTGCAAAACCACGGCGCGGAGGGTGAAAGCTGCTGCCATCTGCCATTGGGAAACATCTCTGCGCTAGGGTATGTGATGCTGTGTTGGCAAACTGGGGGTGGCAACTAAACTAGTCTGTGTCCGTGTGTGTGTCTCACAGCGATGTGTTTCGGTAGCAAGTCCACTTAATCTCCCAAGGCTCCTAGCGTGAATTCTGAGATGGGCGACACCCTTTCTTGGAAGAAGCCACCGACGCCCACTGGTGCGATTCGGAATTCTTTCCTCAGGCCATATCAATTCCGCGTAAGGCGGGGAACCCCTAAAATAGTTCAGCTTGTTTGGCTCACCTTCACCATCCGAAACACCAACATCCAAAATGCAAGGAAAGGAAGGTCACACGGTCACACCCTGTGTTCGCCAACGCTTTGGCAAAAAAAAATCCTGAAGTCCGAAGTGTCAAAACCGGTATGGTATGATGCTCTGTGCGCCAAACAGCAAAGTCCAAATAGTTTATCCAACGCATGTGCCAAACAACAAAGCCCGACACATGAACATCTTGATCTTGGCAGCTTGGACTTCGACATGTTGGCGCCTGTAGGGTGCGCAACGCAAACAAGTACACGCGCAATGCGAACAAACACCAATGTGAACAAAACGTAAAAAGACCTCAACGCCGCCAACATGAGAGCCCATCATGCAAGGTGAAAACCCAAAACATGCTCAATGCGACACACATTGCCACCGTGACAGACGTCAGTTTCCCCCAAAAAACGATGCGTCTAATCAAACTAGCGCCAAAATCCAACATGCTCCCCCGAAAAAAAGCACGACCTTTCCACCACAACACACATGAAGGTCCAAAATGCCAGACAGAAACGAGGCATTGCGCCCAATGCAACAAACATCGAAGTCCAAAATGCGCTAGAGAAATCAAGGTTAACTCCAACGCGAGCAACACCCACGCCGAAAAGGCTTGCAAAAACGAACAAACGGTGCGCCCAAGGTGACGAACATTGCAGGCCAACACTCCCCCCAAAAAAACACCTACTATTTGACAAACATTGCAGGCCAACATCTCAATAACAAAAAAGCTATGCGACACACTTTCCAGGCCAACGTGCCCACCCACCTCCAAAAGAAAGCTGACCATATAACAAACATTGCATGCCAACATGCCGCCCAAAAAAACATGGTTTGCCCAATATGAAAAACAGCAAAGTAAAAAAATCAGCACTGCAACTTGTCATGTCCCCCCCCAAAACAAATCTCATGCCCCATGCGGCGTACATTAATGCCCAAAATGCATTAACACAAACAGTAAATGCTGAGAAACAAAAAACACAAATCTCTCCCAGCACCTGCGCGCACAACGACATGGGCCCGACGCAGCCCGACGAGCGTGGTCTACGGCGGCGTCATTTCAAGGAAAAACAGCACTGCAACTCGTCTTGCCCCCCCCCAAAAAAAACCATCTCATGCCCCATGCGGCGCGCATTAAAGTCCAAAATGCATTATAACACAAACAGTAAATGCTCAGAAAACAACGCAAATCTCTCCCAGCACCTGCGCGCACAACGACATGGGCCCGACGCAGCCCGACGAGCGTGCCCCACGGCGGTGTCATTTCAAGGCCCCGAGAAAAGCCAAAAAATACAGGAAGCGCCAGGCTTTGCAAACATAATTTTGCCCCACCAGCGTCGTTTCGGAAGAAATCATTCCCTCGAGAAAATTCAATCTGTTTCGACGGCCCCGAGTCCTGAAAACACCCTGGCTTCAACCATGTAGCGCAAACCGACTGTTACGAATTTTGCCCGTTTAAAACATGGCTTTTTCCACCAAAATAAAGGGAACCCACCATTTACAAGTTGCAATGTTCAGGTGTATAATGCATCCGGATCCCTGCTGTAGAAAGACTACTTTCCTCTTGGTTAGTTGGGCCTTTTTGCAATTCCGTGTGAGTTGGTGGGTGCATGTACGCGTAAGACATGGTATGTTCACGATTGGCAGCGCTCACATCATGCTCCGAGGCTGCACTTGGCGGGAGGGTCTTTGTTTCAAATCTGCGCCTCGCCGGCGCCTCGCCTTGGACCGTGCGCGCGCCAGGCGCCAGCGTGGCGAGGCACGGGGCTCCCGCGGTGGGAAAAAGGGCCCGGTGGCCGTTGGGAGCGTGACGGACAGCTGTGGGTCAAACATAGGGTAACCCCAAAATGGAAGAAATAAAACTATTGTAAAAATACAACTATTTCCAGTAGTGGTAGATTCCCTTTAAAACCAACAGGGGAAAATAAAACATATTCTCAACCAAAAATGGCTGTTGGTCAAAACTAGGTACCGCAAATGGGTTGCCCCGGTAAATGGAAACAAAGACTAAAACCAGCGGTCCTCTGGTGGTTTAATGTTGACCCATACCCAGCTTGAACAGGACATGAAAAGGAGGAGGATGCTTTCAAAAGGAGAAAAGCGGAAGTTGACATTTGAATGATTGTCATTTTTGATTTTGCTTGTGATTGATAATTTGGAAGGGCCATTATCGGGTTGACCGCTTGCAAGGAGACATCCCGGATTGCGATTTTTGTTTTTTTAAGGTTGTGATTTTATCCTGGATCTTTGTCTGAGAATCATAGATCCCCCGACGGGGAGTAAATTCCCCTGCTTTCTTACAAACAACAAAAACTGTCTCCTTTGAACCACGCAGACACGCCCTCGGAAACTTGGGCTGACGTTTGCACAACGGCGTCGCAGGGAGCTCCTATCGTTTCGGGCGAGCAGCGAATGAAACACCGAACAGGCCGTGCACGATTTGGCGCCCAGCACGGCTTTGGTTGCTATGGATTGCGTGTTTTTTTTTTTTCTGCTGGTAGGCCGTATGTGCTTGCCACAAATGGCCCTGGTCATTACAACTTCCAATATGATACGTGGCCGAAGAGGTGACGCTGCGGCACCGTATTATCTGCGCTTGTGTACGGCAAAGTTGGAGAGCTCAAGCAGTGTTTGAATGAAGCCTCTCCTTTTCAGCTTCCAACTGGTGAAGTCTGGTGAATTCAGCCCTTGGGTTAACAACAGGACCCCCTTTTTGTGACGGTTTCTCTCGAAAATTGAAAAAAGGGGACGCCTCGCCCTTGCCACCGCACCTTCAATGCTGCCATGTGCGCCTTTCGCAGGAGGCCCCTTTCCACAAGGAGAAGAAGAGGCAGGACAGCCAGCGACACTAGTGAGGAAAAGGCAATGCAGACAATCGAAGGGTCCATGTTTCAATTGGGATGGAGTGTTTGGTGCGGCTTTCATATCTTCGCAGAAGTATCCCATTACAGAACATTGTCCAGTGCGGAGCAAGCTGGGGGCAGTCAAGATCCCCAGCATGGAACATACCAATCCCATGCCCTCAGTTTTTGGGGTCCCGGCCGGGGGCCCCAACAAACCAGGCACCTAGAGTGAGGTAGCTCCCATGGTCTGGAGATGTTAGCTGCCATCAAATCGGCTTCCAGCGATCCGCTCTCCGGGACTCTCCGTGTTCCAGTGCCCTTGAATCCTTCCTGGACCTCAAAGCAGAGAAGTCAGCGCTGGTTCCAAGTGCCCTTCAATCCTTCCAGACCCTAGACCTCAATGGCGCTGGGAGGTCAATCTTTAAGGCCTCGGACTCCTTGTCCAACTGGAAACGCCTTCTTTTGGTTTGGAGCGGGCTTCCCTTCGCTGCATTTGCGCTACTCCCGTGCCAACGGCGCCGGGAGTTTCAGTGCTCAAGACGTCTGGCAATGGTGTAGGTGGGCTTCCGTTACAAATCTGCTTGGTGAATATGGCGAATTCAAAACCCCAATGGCATTTTTTAGGGGTTATGGTAAGGCCTACATAAGCTTGAGCGCCAAAAACTGAGCTATGTGCAGTGTTTCGCATGGGAACAAGAAAAGCACGGGAAAGCCAATGTTTTGTGCATTCGGGCTTGCATGTCCACCAGTTGTGACCTTGGTGTTGCTGGCTACCTGCGGTACTGGCGAAGAGGAACACCACTGCGGGTGTGACTCTTTTAGGGGATCCCTGAAGATGGTGGTTTTCTTTCTGGTTTCCCTTTAATCCACCCAAACAAGCGGGGAGCCTCCAAAAAGTCGAGCCACACAGGACGGCCTCCGCAAACCTAATGCCAATTTGAGGTTTCGAAGAAGAAACTTAAGAAACTTGCTGGTGCGATAGGTAGGGAATGAAAACCGTTTTGGGAGATCCGAATAAAGGAAACCACCAGTTGGATGGTTTGTAAGGGTCATTCCATTTCTCCTTCCGGTGGAGTGCCCCATTCATTTTCACAAGCCCACTTACAGGGCTTCCTCAATTTGCATCTTCTTTTGGAACCTCCAAAAGTGGCAGTTTCAATGAACACCACCAGCTTGGTTGGGCACCTTGTGTTCCTTGGGGCAAGTGTGGGCTTCTCCTGGAAGTCGGGTGCTTTCGATTCTTTCCAGGCGTTTCCGGTTATCCATCTAGGGCCGTTTCCCTTGAACGTACCGCTTGGGGGCTGATCGCCGAAACAGGTTTCACGCCTGCGGCGAATGTGTGCCGGCTCCCCGTTGGACGTTGTCTTTGAACATAGTTAGGTGTGAGTTTTCGGGTGTTGTGTTATTTGAGATTGGGATTTTCCAGTCAAGGAAGAAAGCAACAACATGAGCAAGCAAGTGCCCTACAACCCACCTTGACCCAACCCTGAACCCGCCCGTACTAAACCAGCCCTAGCCCCCTACACCAACTCCAATTCTAGACCTACTTGAACCTGCATTGAACAAACCTAACCAAAACCAACCTCACCTCAACAAGCCTACCCCAAACCCACCTGAATTCTCAACTAAATGAACCTACACCAGCCCCAAAATTTTCTGAACCAACCAAACCAGACTAAACCCACCTTAAGCCACCCTGAACTCACCCTGAACCTACCTTAAAAAAACACCCTAAACCTAGGGTGCACCCCAAACCACCCTAACCCCACCCTACGCAGCCCAGACCAACCCTAAAATCCTCCCCCACCCCCCCAACCTACCACGCTGTTGAGTGGCTGCTGTGCATGCCATGTTGTCTCTGCTACATTCCAGAACATTTCATTGTCATGTTTTGTATACATGGACAACCGGAAGATCTTCGCCGTGCTCTTCGCGGGATGTTGCTTTGTGAGTTCCAGCCTTTTCGTGATAGGCGTGTTGTTTGTGTGAACCACTTTGGAGGTGGTTCCCCTATCGAACTCGCCAAAGGAGGCCCATCTCTAGGACACGCCCAAACAGCAGCAACAGACCTCACTTCTGCATGATGCGCGCCATGTGGTGTTGTGCGTATGTGTGTGTGTTTTGTTGGGTGGGATGCCCCGAGCACGGGGGAAGCTTTGAATGAAAAATAAAAAGAAGCCAAAGGGAATCAAAGGGGTTCCTTATTTTGACATAAACCCATGCGAGTTTTTTTAACATGCTCCGTTTCAAGCAGCCGAAATGTGCATGGTGTGGCCTCGGCAACCTCAAGAAACACTCGAGGGCTTTTCAGATGGCTCAAAATGAGGGGCTAGGCCTTTTAGCGTTTTGCGATTTGGCTTGACCGCACTCCATAACCCGATTCTAAGAGTTGCTTTTTGCTGCGAGCCCCTGTTCTCCAGCGTCTATGGAAATTGCGGCCTTCTCCAGATGTGTTTGTCGTCCTGATTCGGTGTTTTTCTAGGCGGCAGCCAGAGCGAGAGCATGGGCGTTGAGCACACCATCCGAGATCAAATGACGGGGTCGCGTTGCTTCCTTGGAACCCACAAGAAGCCCAGAAAAAACTTGCTGGCTCGGGGATGAGTTGGAATGCCCCTCTGAACCATTGTGGCTTCGTAGCAAATAGTAGGGAACCCCTAGATTCATTGCCATCCCTGCAAGGGAAAGAGAAAACATATCCAAGATTGGGGAACTCGACCTATGATCCGGTGGCTGGAAGGCTTTCAACTCCTTGGCAGCTGAACACCATGTGAGCAAGTTGCGTGCCGCAGATTGTGATGAGAATGGCATGTGGGCATGCATTTTGACCCCACATGGTGTCAAGTATTTTTTGACCTCGCCTTTTTCCAGTGTTACGTCCAACACTAGCCAAATCCGGTGGCCTGGAGGGCCCGGTTGGCTTGCTAGGCAGGTTTGCGTTTTTGGCAGGGGCGTGATAAGAATGATCCATAAAGCCAACTCATTGGTCCGAAACTCTCCATGATTGATGCACGCTGTCGCGCGCCCTAAGCCTCCGCAAGTTCTCTCCTGAGCGGAGTTGGGCTTGGCCCAGTGCACAGCCAATGCTCTCCTCGACCAGGATTGCTTTGCCTGGTCAGAGCATTGCCTCTTCTGGTTGCCCTTGGCGCTTTGGGTCCAAGGGCATATCTCACTTGCCCAAAGCGAATCGACCTTTGACTTTTGGGTGTTCGGTGTTCAAGGTTTCAAGAGCTTAAACATCAAATGTCCTTGTTCTTTCGGCAAGTGAGAGAATGGTTGGTGAACACTGATCCCCAACATGCGGATGACGTCCCTGATTTTTTTCACATCTTTGCGTCAGAGTTGTGGCCAGGTTTGTTGCTTGAACAACGCCACGCTCTGACCTCGCAGCATTTTTCCAGACAATTTGAAATGAGGGGATCCAACAAGCGCTTTTATTTCTGCTGTGCTATCCGAAGACCATCGCCATCCAACACAACCATATCCCTTTGTTTTTGAGTCATGTGCAGATTTGAGAGAAGGTCATGCGCTTTTGACCTGCCGAGAAGCCACTATTGGCTTCGCTTTAGCATGCGGGAGCGATTCGTAACCCGCGTCTTGCTTTCTGCTTGGATCTGGGTTTTGTGGGAAACAAAATCTGGACCTCGGCACTCCATCAAAGCCATGCTGTTCGCTTCCATAGGTACCAAGAGGCGTAGTCCAGGGGCTTGTTCCGCCGGAACTCCTCGATGCGCTGATGCGCTAGTGGTTCCGATCCGGTCGCCTGCAAGCACGTTTCAGGGGATGATTGGCCAAAAGGCGAAGCAGGGATAAAGAAGGTCCTCCCGTTCTTTTTTGGAGCCAGCTCTGCGGGCTACGCCCATGAAGGCCCTTGACTTGGAGTTCCTTTCTCCCAGTTTGGGACTTCGATATTTGCCCTGCGTGGTCAAGCTTCTCAAGCATGGCGGGCTTGGGCCGAGTGCACCAAATGCCCGGACTGAGGTGCATCCGCCCGACCCGAGATGTTCACGTTTTTTGTTTGCGGACGCACACCCCAGCGATTCGAATCAGAAGCTCGCAAGCGTTCGACGCTTTGGCCCCTGCCGGCCCTGCCGGGGGCCACAGGAAGCCTGGACAGTTTCAGAGTTGGCGAGCCATGGCAAGCTGGTCTCAGGAGACTTTGCCGTGGCCAGGACGTTTACCGTGCTTGCGCTTGTCTACTTTTTGTTTTGTTTGCCAAGGAAATGGGTGTGGCTCAAAATTACCCAGGAGCGGTTACGCAGGTTTTGGTCCATGCTTCCACTTACCAGGGTTCCATTTTGGGTACCGGTTTTTTGAGCCACAGCCAAATGCCAGGTTTGGCCTGTGCTTAAGGGAGCGTGATTCTTTGTGCCCTTAGCCTTGGTCCACAATGAGAAAGCTGGCGCAGTGTCTGGCGGTGAAGGTTTGACGCTCACACCGAGCAACCACGTGGAAAGTTGGGAACTAGTTTCACTGCCAGCAACCAGCGCAAGCTGAATTAAACCACCAGGGGACCGCAGGTTTGGTCCTGGGAGTTCCATTTTGGGTACCTATTTTTGACCCACAGCTATGTTGTGTTATTGTGTTTTGGTTTATGCCGTGCCCTTCTGATTAAGGCTTTGCGACAGAAGTCTGCGTTTTGGATGCGACACATCCGTGCCGCGCGTCAGGGAGTCAACGGGCGTTTCCAAAAAAACATTTGGACACCTTAAAATCGTTGGTCTTTGGCAGCATCCCTCTTCAAATGTGTGCCCTAGTTTTGGAATCACCCGACTGACTTTTGTGACAAACACGTCTTAGGTGCGCCTGAGGAAAATAGTGCGATTGTACCAATTTGGCGATTGCGATTGCAAGAATGACATTTGTGGATTGTTTTCTGGCATGTGATGTCAATGTCAAAGGATGTAATGATAATGGACCGAGTATATAAGATTGCAACCGGGACAGGTTCCGGCTGTTTAATGGGAGGGTAATTGGATTGGCAATGGAAGTCATTGCAAAGCCACAAGGGTGACTAGATTTCTTGGAAGAGAAGCAAGAACGGAGGTTTGCGCATTCCAGATAAGAAACTGCTATTTGCCTTATTGTTCATGTTTGCATGCTGTATGGATTCCCCATCCTCTTGTGCCGTAGGTTTCCTTCAGCACATTACGCGTGGGAGCCACTCATGCAACGCAAAGGCTGCTACCAGGGGCTTGCTATTATTATTATTATTAGTATTGTTATTAGTATTGTTATTATTATTGTTATTATTATTATTATTGTTATTATTATTACTATTATTATTATTAGTAGTATTATTATTATTGTTATTATTATTACTATTATTATTATTATTATTATTATTATTATTATTATTATTATTATTATTATTATTATATATATATATATATATATTTGTTTAAACGCTTCCGGCCTCGTGTGAGGCAGGTCCATATTTTTGTGCCAGCGATTGCAGACACACACACACACACACGCAAATCACGGCTTGCGCATGGGAAACGATTCGATCGGGGCCCTGCGAGGGCTCCCAAAAACGATACTCCCCCCCCCCCCCTCGACGCCCGCGAGTTCGATGGAATCTCAGGCCTGGAGTCGCAGCCAGCCGAGGCGACGGTTGCCTGCGTCGCTTCGTGTAGCAAAGGCAATCGAGCCGCAGGCCTTATGGGAGATACCTCATGGTGGTTGTTGGGAAACGGCTTTGTCCCATTTTGGCTTCTTGTGGTTTAGTGGTTGAAATCGAAATCCACCGAACTGCTAAGATTTATTTTTTTTGCTCCCCTTCCAACGTCAACCAAGACCTAGTCGAGACGTGGGGGTTGGCCAGGTGCAGGCTCCAGAACATGCCCGGCCCTTGCTGGCGGAGTTCAAAATTCTCGCTTTCGAAGCGACGTTTTTTTCTTTCTTCTTCGTAGACCAATGCCACTGCATGCGTGTGCCTCCAGCCTTTGGCTCGACGTGAAACATATTTTTATTTCAGCAACTTGGGCCACTTTCACTCAGCGCGTCCAGACTTCCAGGCCGCTGTTGGCGGGTTTGGCCACCTCGAACGGCAGCGCCTTTCGCCGGCCATGGAGCTCAGCGCGGAGGAGTGGAAGATGCGAAGCGCCCAGACGAAGGCGAAGGTGGAGGAGCGGGGGTTGCGAGGGTGCCGAACGAATGGGAGGGTGGTGGAAGGGATGTATTTTCCTCCTTGAAGTGGGGGATGGGGTCATTTTGACCTGGAATATGTCAGTGGGCGATTTCCACTCCAGTTAGTGCATAGAGGGGGTCACATCCGCGGGGGTTCATGATTGTACATTTTCCGTGGCTGCTTTTGTTGGAGCAAAGCCATAACTATGGCGGGCGAAGTGACTCGGTCAGAATAAGTTGGTTGCAGGCCTGGGCTCAGCATCTTCTTTGGCATTTCATTGGTTTGCGTCTCTGCTCAAAGCGAATCGACCTTTTGGGTTTTCTCCCATTTCCATATTTCGTCAGGGCCCCAAACTGAGGTCACCTTGTATTTCCAGGTGCTTTGCACTTTGCACAAGGGGTTGATGTGAGGGGACTGGATGGATGCAAACATATTTTAGACTCTTTTTTTTGGCTTCGAAGCGGGAGCGAAGCGTTGGGAAAACCAGCTTCGAGACACGTTTCTCGCAATGGCCATTGGCCACTCCTGGCAGACAGGAATACCCACTGAAGCGGGAGCCCTTGATATTCATGCTTGAATAAGGGTTTGCCGCTCTTCACTTGCCGGATTTATTTCTCCTGTGGATGTATTGAGGCCTTCCTTCCCCGAAATTTCATGGGGGCTGGGGGGGAGGGAGGAGGGGGGAGGGATAAATAAGCCCTAAATAAGGCCTTATTTAGCCCAAGGGCTTTCCAAGGGCTTATTTGGGCTCCCTCCCCCCTCTGCTCCCTCCCCCCCAGCCCCATGAAAATTACAGTTGTTTTCCCTTTTGGGTGTCATGCGTAGGTCTCCTTGTGCGGTTCCTTACTCATCTTGGGCTGCGAAGTGCGAAGGAGCTGCTGAAGAGTCGCCAGGGCCGTGAAGCGCTGGCGGAAGCGCTCAGGGATCCACCTTACAGCGCTCCGGCTCGGGCTCATTGGCTCCCGGAAATGTTGGGATGGGATGAGTAAGCCCATCCGATTAAAAAGAGGGGTCCGACTTAAAGGGGCAGAGTACAGGTTATAACCCACTTACGATGGTTATAAGTCTCCGTTCAGTGGGTTATAACCAGGCTTACTAACCACTTACTAAGTACCCTGCCCCTTCAAGTAGTATGTTGTTGGTGCCCCTGAATATCAGTGGGCACCTTTTCGTTGCCTTGGTGAGTTAAGACCCCTCTGACGCAACGGCAGAGCGAGAGAGAGCTTAAAAAGGGGGGGAACCACTCCAAAGGGGATAAATCCGCATTTTGGCCTCGGATGAAGAAGCCCATCCTCTTGAAAAGGGCGGGGGATGAATCCGCACGATCAGGGGACACCCGTGTCCCGGACACCGCAAAAAATAGAGCGTATTAATTTGGGGTTCCCAAAGGCGAGCAAGGGAGTGTGTGTGTGCGCATGTTAGGATCACTGGTCGTGGGCATAACTCAAGTGATACTAGCTTCACAGAACGGTTATGGTACCCCACCCCACCCCAAACCTGCCTCCGCTAGTTCTGCTTCAATCATACCTTCACGTCCTGTAAAGGGGGGCCAGGGACGGTGGCTGAAGGCGTATCAAAGTACTTTGGCTCCCCTTCAGGTGCTTGCATCTTGACTCAGGGTTCCATTTTTTGACTAGGTTGTGGTAGGGGTTTGCCTTTTGTTTGCCTTGGGGTAGTCACAAAGCGGAAAAATGGACGAGATCTCGCAAGAAGCTGTTGCTTTTTCCCTTTGAACCACCATTGAGAGATATTTCGAGGGGTGAGCTGAGGATGTCGCATGGGGACATGGCATGGCAGCCTGGCGACCTAGGTGTTTTTTTTGCATTACGAGGTGCCGTCCAAAACACGTCTAGGTGTTTGACCCGTTGATCCCATCTTTTTGTGTAAAGGACAAGTCGAGGCAAGGGTTGCTTACTTGCTCCCAGGCATCCGGTTCCTGAGCTTTTGAGCCTTGTGTTTAGTGGTAGTTTCCGTATTTAACCCACTGAAAGTCAAACCTTTAGCGGATCCTTTTAGTGTGTAGTGGTAGTTTCCATTTATCCCACTAACAGCTAAACCTTTAGCGGATCCTAAAACGGGCAGCCCAGCTTAGAACGGTTCCTGTCGCCAGCTTCGTCGCGGTGGGCCAAAGGGACGCTTCCGGACAGGCGCCCCGGCGGAGACGAAGGACCAAGCGGCCAAGACGCTGCTGCTGGCGATGTCTGCCTTCCGCGAGGCCAAAGGGCCGCTTCGGGCGTCGGGCATTGGTGGTCGTTGGGAAGCATTTTTGCATTTTTGCTGAACTGCTATTTTTTTTTTTGCTCCCCGTCCAACGTGGAAACCAAGCAGCTTGGAGGGTTTTGAGGCCAAGTCGCTGGCTTTGGTGCGAGGGTTTTTGTATGACATTCTGGGATGACACCCCTGCGAAATGACCCAGAATGGTTCACCTAAATGGGGTCAATACCCAGTGGGCGTATTCCCAGGGTGTAATACCAAAAAAAAAACATAGAGTTGCAAATCCTGTGCGCCACTGGAACTTAGGCAGAGATCAAGGATGCAACAGCCTTCCTGGGGGAAGAGGCGCAGATTCTGGCCAGCATTGGGACTTTTGGCTGGGCTGGCTTGTGGCTGCTGGTTTTCTGGGTGCCTTTTTGAACCTCTGCCCACCAAAGTTCCAAAACGCCAGACTCGCTGGCGTTGGCCCAGAAAAAGAGGTGGTTTCCTGTGGGAACTGCGCGTTAGACGTGCAAATCCCATCCTCTTTGAGCTTTCTGATTTTGGGCGTCGAGTTCCAAGGAACCTTTTGATGAAGTATCTCTACAGGTGTGAAGCCCAGCTGTGAGCACAGATGCATGGCCTGAGCCATCTCTTGGGAGCGGTTTGGCGGCGGATTGTGAATGGGGAACCACCTCAAAAGGGCAGCGGCTCGCACGCTCGCACCGGAGGTTCTGGGGCCAAAGCCTGCCGGCGAAAACCAATGCTCAGCTCTTCGTGTGGCATGCCGCGCTGGTATCACAGGCTCGGTGCAGTCGAGCCTCGGAAGTGGCTGAGAAATGTTTTCATCTCTCCTTGGCCAAGGGCTTAAATATCAGCGGCATTCAGCGGCTTCGAAGCCAGATCCAGTTGACGCGTCCATTCGCTTCATTTGGTTTTCGGAGTGCGGCACATCATTTGGAAGCATGCGCATGAGTCTGGAAGCAGGCGCGTGAGATTCTGCCTGCTTGCCTCCTGCCTTCCCTGCCTGCCTGCCTGCCTCCCTGCCTCCCTGCCTCTTTGCCTACCTGCCTCCCTGCTTGCCCTGCCTGCCTGGTTTCGCTGGTTGTTTGGGGTTGATTTTGTTGATTGGTTGATGGCTTATTTGGTTGGTGGCCTGTTTGCTTGCTTGTCTGCCTCCTGGCTTGCCAGCTGGCAGGTCAGTTGGTCAGGTGCCTGGGCCGTTGTGCCTCGATTCCTGTTCGTAGCCTGAACCAGACCTCAGACCCCACACAGACGTGTTCCCAACAACCGTGTCAATCGCGTGGGGCATCCGCTCGAAAGCCGCAAGCAGCCAAGCTTTGCCTTGGCTAACCTGAGTGCTGGCGCTGTCAGAAACGAATGCACGTATCGCGCCACGGCATGCCGCGGCCAGGCTGGAACCGGCTGCATTGCCACTTGGCCCGCGCGGAAGGGGCGGCAGGGGCCGAGGCTCTCCGGGGAGACTCCGCTTTAAAACTTGCTGGCTCATTCCCAGCTGAGGACCCGCGAGGTAAGCATGTTGCAACTTTGTTGGCACAACTGCCACTGAGGTCAGGGTGCTCTATGACTGGAACTGGCCTTGATCCCGTTGCCGCGTGAGCAAAAAGGAGCAAGGCCTACATGGTGAGCTGCTCGAGCTGTTGTGACCATTTAGCTTTGTGCAACGCCAGCATCAAGCCTAGACGTTCATGATTCGATTCACTCGGACTCACGGCCCCGTATCGCGCTTACATGCACCAAACCTATAGAGGTTGCCACCCAAAAAGCGCCACTGCAAATTAAGCTGAAGCATCATGGAACCCAACACGGGGTCCCGGCTACCCCCCTAAAGGAGATTCCTCTGTCAACTCCGCCAGGGGTGGGGCGTTACGTTCCGAGCTTCGGCGTGCGAACTCGCATCTCTCAGGTGGTCAGTGCTTGCCGCGAGGCAAAGGCGAAGCCAGCGGAGCACGGGGGCTCGAAAAGTGCTTTGAGTGGGCATGCCTTTCGGGAGAGAGTTAATTTAAGCACGTGGTAAGCAAGAAGTTTGGATCCAACAAGTGTGGACTTCGGTACGGTTTGTGGGGTTGGCTTAAATGAAAGACATGAAAACCACATCTTGGGCTTCTCTCATTTTGAGCACAGCCACGTGTATTCATCGGTGCGTGATCCAGATTTGCCGAGTCTGACTGGAGCAGAATCAGGAGCCTCGCAAGCAGCACGGAAGCTGGGTTCAAAATCCATCCTTATACTCCTAATGCCAGAAGGAAGCGGTGTCCTACTACCGTAGTAGGATTACAGATTGTTTAGCAAACAGTTTGGATGCGCTTTTTGTGAATTTCACCCAGTCTTCGTCCGAAAAGTCCTTGTATTGAGCTATGAAGGGGAAGACCTTTTGGTCTCAGCGTTGACCTTCGCGAAAGTTCCGCGAAGGGGGTCGCGAAAGTTAATTGTTTTTTCCGCGAAAGTTTTGTGTGGCTTGCTAACAGGAAGCTGGAGTGATGAATCATGTGTAATTACCGGCAGTGCGCGCAGAATGCCTGCAGACTAAAGTTGGTCGGAGAATGCGCAGCCTGAGGGTCGCCACAAGAATACGCCGCTGCAAAAGCAATCCCCAGCCAGCAGAAACCAGCTTCTGGGAGTTTTGATGCTGTCGGGGCAAGCTGAGCGCAGCTTCCAGCCGGATTTTCGCGAATGTTTGGCGTAAGATCCGCGAAAGTTTCGCGAAAGTCGACGGACCTCCCCGCCAGTTTCCGGACATGAGGCCAACGGGTCCTCTCACGCGTAGCTCACGGCTCGTGAGCTGGAGCTGCGGAAGCGCGCTTCGCGTGCTACTTTGGAACTGAAAGGTTGCGACTTTCGAGCTGGGGCTGCAGAAGTTCACTTTGTGTACTACTTTCGTATTGAAAAGTTCTGACTTTCGAGGCTGAGGGAGTTTAGTTCGTGTACTACTTTCGTATTCAAGCCGGGCTGCGGAAGTTTACTTTTAGTACTACTTTCGCACTGAAGAGCTGCGACTTTCGAGCTGGGGCTGCGAAAGTGTACTTCGTGTACTACTTTTGTGATGAATGCTCTGAAAACAGCCCCGCGAAAGTTCCGCGATGGGGTCCGCGAAAGTTATTTTTTCTCGCGAAGATGGCGGTTTCCGGAACAAGGAATTTCAGACAACCGTCATGTCAACAAATTTGAATTTGGTGGGCTTCCACCAAACATGGAATTTCACTGGAAGAACATTTGAGTTTGATTGAAAAGTTATGGGTTTCCTTGGGAGGTTTATTGGAACATTTGATGGCATTGAAGCTTCATTGGCCATGGAATGGCCAATGCAGGCATGCCTGCCAATGTGTTTCAGGACAACGTGGTTGATGCCAAAACCTTCCGCAAATTGCGTTGGAACCGTCGCCTTTTTTATTTTGCCAGCATGGCACCCCTTTGAGAATGGGCGTTAGGGCCGAAATCTCGATGAGGATTTTTACAAAATCCAGGTGGATGTGGCTCAAAGTGAAAGGGCCAGGGAGACGCAGGTGTTAGTCTTTGGTTCCATTTGCCAAGGTGCTCTTTTTTGGCGCATTTTTTTGAGCCACAGCCATGTCTCTGAAACAACAAAACAACCTGACTGCTAGACTTGCGAAATAAAGGGTACGGCTATAGAAGGACCCTCGGCCTGGGCGAAGGGCCGAACCGGACTCACGGACTGAGGCCCTGCCCGGTTTGCTTCGACCCGGTGGAGTCCGGTTGCACCTGCGCCTGCGGCAGGAGCGGGAGGGGGGGCCGGTTTGGCCCGCTGAGGGCGAATTTGGAGGGCGATTTGACAGGGGCCAGCTCTATTTCCCTTTTTGGTGATGCTTTAAACATCACCTTGGCCCGTGAAAGGCGGGTCTGTGTTGGTGGGAGTGATGTTTTGAGGGGAAATATAGGGAGCCCTGTTTGAGAGCAAGGCGTGGGGATGGCTTGGAGCGATCGCACTGAGCTACCTGTCACTTGCGTGACCTGTGCTCGTTGCGACATGTCGTGACCATGGGACACATAAGCCTGAAGTCAGGTCTCCAATGTCCTGCGAGTGGAAACAGGTTTGCAATGACTTTTGGAAGACCGGATTCCTGTTTGTGTTGTTGACGCCCTTGAACTGACGATGCGAAGTGAGACAGAATGCCAACCTCTGACCCCCAACCCGCAGCGGCGGGGGATCCGAAGTCGGGCGAGTCTTGGCAGGAACTTGCACGCAGAGTGCCAGCATCCCGGCGCGCTGGCGCTATGATGGCGCCGGAAGGATCGTTTGAACCATCGAAACCCCGGTAAGTGAGCATCGGGGACAGCCCCAGCCAGAATAAGGCGCGGCTTTTGAGTTTTTCACGTGGTTTTGGGTCGACCATGTTGATGCCAGGTTGTGAGTGTGGCTCATTTGTCTGTCTCGGTGGCTTCCAGCTATCCCCTCAGCTTGTCAGCTTTTCAGGGCCTAGTGGGGTTTCCATTTGGCTATGGGTGAAAAAAACTCGTACCCCCAGTGAACATCCCAATCCAACCACTAAAATAGGTCCTAAAACGGGTGCACCGAAACCCCTCAAAATTGTACCCCTAACTTCTAACCCTAACCTCTAACCTTTACCTCTAGCCCTAACCGTACGGGAAGATGACGGAAGACTACGGGAAGATGACGGAAGACTGCTTTGGCCAGGCCAAAACGCCGTTTCAACTCAACGAACCACCGAGGCCTCGAGCAGTGGCGCAGGGCCAGTGTGCAAGACGCGTGCGTGTCCCAGCTCCCGAAAGGGCCGTGTCTTGTTCAAGGCCGCCTTTTTTTGGAGGTGGGCTTAAAGGGAAGCCAAAAGTTGAAGTTGTTTTTTTTTCTTCTTCGGGCGGGGGTTCCAAACAAAAGACGCAGTTTTGGCGCCGTTTCCCTTTTGGAACCTCCAAAAGTGGCAGGTTCAATGGAAACCGCCAGTAAATTGATCGACTTTTAACAGGGAAACCCAGTGACCCCTGTTACATAAAGGGTAACCAGAAGGAAAATCACTGTTTGGGGGGATCTCCCCAAAACAAGAGACATAAACAAAAAGGCGTTTTGGTCGGAGATGTGTCGTTTTACATTCGTGCCGCGGAGGTCAATTGTGCTGCCTCGTGCGCGAAGTGCAAATATGCTTCCATGCCCCCCATCGCCGGCAGCACGCCAGGTTGTTGAAGTTCATGCAAATTCATTTGATCGATCAAGAATGGTGCGGTTGGAGATTGAAGCAAGCTTGCGGGCATGAAACAACGAGCAGGCAGGCAGCGTGGAAAATCATGTTCGGTCTTTTTCTTCCCCCCTTTTTGGTGAACCACAGACTTGTTGGGGGGTCGCCCCCAAAAAAAGTGAAGGACAGACGCAGCATGTAGCTTCACGCGGCGAGGTCTGGCAAGTTGCTGGATTGCTTGGTGCTCTCCGGGGTGCGGTGTGGCTCCCAGCCGGCGGTTTTTCCCTTAAAACCAGGCGGTGTTTTCGGTGTTCTTGGTTGCTCTTTGCCAGGTGACGACGTGGTTGCTCTGTGGTTCGGTTGTTTCCCTTTAACCCACCACTTAGGGTGTTGTTCTTGGTTGCTCTTAGCTGGTGTTCTTGGTTGCTGTGCTTTTTTTTTCCCCCTGTTGGTTTTGCAGGGAATCTATCACTACTGGAAATATCATTATTTAGAATATTGTTCCCTGGGGTCATCATTTTGGCGGCTTCTGGGGGTGATCCTTCAGTCACAAAATGGAATCGGTTGTTTCCCTTCAACCCACCACTGAACGGGGGTGACATTGATCATGGTAAAATAATGAGGCCAGCTTTGGTTCGACCTGCAACCTGTCAACTGTTCAGAAACCGATTTCCTCAAGCAGAGATTCTAGGAGCAAAGAATGTGAGGACTTAGGCTGATTGTCCCTGTCGGTCTGCAGGTCCACTCCAAAGTGTCCACGCTGCAACGAGCAGGAGGCCTCGAGACAGACCGCATATTTGAGAAGCCATCTAAGAAGGCATGGAATCAGGAACGTTTAGACTGATGCGCAGGGAGATCTCTGCAAGGTCTCGAGTCAAATTTCTTTGCCCAAGTTGGTCTACGGAAGTTCTCGATGCAAGTTTCTGTTTGTGCAAGTTTACAGTCTTTGTCGCGCGAGTTCTCGATGCATGTTTTTCAGGGCGAGCTCTCGGTGCATGTTTCTACGTGCGAGTGCTCTGCGCAAGTTTCTCAGTTGCGGGAGTCATTCTCAACGCAAGGGCCGCGAAAAGTTGCACCTCAACCGCGCCGATCTCCACAGTGGGGTGGCGCGCCCAAATCAAGCAGTTGCAAAGTTTTCGCATGAGCCCACGCCGACCAGCGCCAGCGGGTCAAGCAGACAGTCTTTGAGTCACTGCGTGCGCCGGCCCCGGCTTAGTTGAGCAATGTGCGGGATCATGTTGACCCCGGATTAATAAGCCAATAAATATGGGGGTCTTGCCCTCCAAAAGTGATAACTCCTCACTAAAACCAGGGACACCCCCATATTAATAAACAGGTGCTTATTAATCCATGGTCAACATGACGCATCCCCACCAGGGGCCCCAAGATGTCCCGTACCAGTTCTACTGGTAGGGTGGGCAATGGCTCCCCGGTCAGGGTCTCAGTTGTCGCTCCTCCACGCCGATTTCCGCGGAGGGCCGAGTGAGCAAAAGAAGCAAGTCCTCAGTTTTCCACGCCGGTCCGTGCAAAGAGTCGCGCGCCCGCAAATCAACAGCGGCAACCATGCGCAGTTTTCGTGCACATCGCCGAGGCCGATCCCCGCAGCGGAAAGGTCCAACACAAATTGCGGAAGCGCTCACTTTATGCACATTGACGACGCTGATCTCCGCAGAGGGGTGTCATTTTCGCAGGGTGGGTTTGGTCCCTCTGCGCCGCCTTAAAAGATGCAAGCGTGCAGTTCACTGGTGCAAATTGCTGCGCCTGTTCTCTTGTGCTACTTGCTCTGCATGTCCTCTCGTGCATCTTGCTCTGCATGTGCTGCGTGCCCCAGTTTGTTTTTTCGTGTTCTCGGAATGGGAGTTGATCCATTTGCTAAAAGGGCTTCCCTTTCGGGATGGGTCCATGTTGAGACAGCAATTGAATGCAGGCCGCGCCTGAGCGCCTGAATTTGTGGCTGGCTCAGATTCGGGAGGTCTTGAACCCGACTCGCTTTCCTGGAAGAGTGTCGACTCCAACTGGTCCTTCTGAGTGTTAATTCGGTTGGACCTGGAAACCTCGTAGCGTGTCTCTCTCCACATCAGACTTGCTCGGTCGTTTCTTGCGCAGGGCAGTGCGAGTTGCAGACTCCAGCCACGTGCAGCGGCCCAGGTCCTCGGTCTCTTCCCTGCACGCGGCCCCGCAGAGCCTGGAGGAACCTGCAGCCGTGGCGAAAGCGGGGGGGGAGGTTTGGCCTGTGCGAAAGCGGCGATCAATTTGACTTCTCAAGGGGTTTTTTGGGTGGCTTGAGACATCTTTCAAGAGTCTCCCGTTTTTGTTTTTTTTTTTTTTGGGGGGGGGGCTTGAGACTGGTGGGTGCCGACGTTCGGCCGCGCATGAAACCTTTTGGGTGGCTTGAGTTGTGCAGCATACAAGCCGCTGATGCAACCTTAAGCTGTGCATGAGGCATTCTTTGAGCTGACATGCAAGCAGCACAAGCTCAAGGAGAAGCGAGGAAAAATGAGCAACCCTGCTTCCGGTGAGAGAAGCCAAGCCAGTTCCCAAGACCAACTTCGGGCTTTTTACCCCAAAGAGGCATTCTAAAATGGCCGTGCCTTTTTAGTGGCTTCCCTTTTTTTGCTTGCCTCCAAAGGGAAATCAAAGTTGAAGCGCCCATGTTCCGATCATGTTCCGATCATGTTCCGACTTGTTTCGAGAAACAAAGGTCAACACTTGATTGCTTTTGGCTTGGATCTTTAGACTTTAACTTCTTTTTTTTGAAATCCAGGGTTTTCATTTTAACCCACAAAACAGAAAGAAAGCAAAAACACAAATCAAGTTTTGCAGAGGGGCCGTTACAGCAAGCAAGAAAAGTCCAGGCGCACGAGGCATCAGTCCATTCGCATCGCCCGCGACGCGATGCAGCGGGCTTTGCTGCGCCTGCCGCGGCGACGGAGGTTTTGGTCGCTGGCGGTGTGTGCGGCGTGGCCCGACGCTTTGATTTGCAGTCAGGTGGCTGTGGGTCAAAACCAATGGACCACCCATTTTAGTCTACTCCAACGTGCCTCTGGGTGCAGGTCCCTCTACAAATCGTTTGGCAGGGGACCATGTGGCTGTGGGCCAAAACGAATTGGATCCCATTTTGGTTGGTAGGTGAATTCACCACCCATGTTAGAACCTGTTTTAGTTGTTCACTGGGGGTACAGGATTTTGACCCATGGCCAAGTTGGCGCTTCATGGCTTTGAGGGGACTTTTTTTGGGGTGCTTGAAAGGGACACCAAGATGATGGGCACCATTTGTGGGTCCCCTAGAAAAACACAGCTCTGGGAACCATGTTCAATTTGGTTGGTGGGCCAGTGCCGGTCCCTGTCAAGATTCGAACCCAAGATCTTATATTCATGTTCAAGCCGGCCCCACTTGATTTGTGTCTTCACAAATGCCGTCGCAGTTGGACACAAATCCAACCATGTCCGAGCGTCCAAAAAGAATCCCAAGCATCGACTCATCGACTCGACTCGCTTCACCGCGCATGGAACGAATCGCTAGGCCAGTTCCTGGGTGCCCAGCCTTGCGCCCCGCCGGGTTCTGAGCCGCTGCGTGGCCGCCAAAGCGGAGGCGGTTTCGGCGAAACTCTCCGAAATCCAATTCCGCCCAGGTCAAGGATCCAGTTTTCTCCGTTTTGGTGCTGAAAACGGTACCCGCTGGGGCCAGTTTACAGTTAGTTTTTCTTTGGGGGTCAGCGAGCAAAAAAGAGGTGGAAGTGTCGGGAACCCTGATGCCAAGTCCGAAGTCCATCGGCTCGGCAACACACGGCTTGATCAGAGAATCACAATCCCGGCACCAGTCAACCATGGGGCATAACCTATGGCTCCATTTTGGGGGTTTCGGTGCACCACCCATTTTAGAACCCATTTTAGTGGTTGGATTGGGATGTTCACTGGGGGTACGATTTGGATTTTGACGCACAGACACATGTTGAATCTGATCCCCCGGGTGGGGCAAAATATGGTTTAAACACCACCTTTACAAGGGAAGAATCATCATAACCAGTGGTTTAAACATGTTTAAACCAATGGGTGGCCCCGCCCTACTGATCCCTTCATCCAAAAACCGACGTCAGGTTTTCGCTTCGCATCGCCATGGCCAGGCGAGCGATGGGGAGGTGCCCTCTGCAGAGGACGGCGCGCAGGATGTAGTGGGATTCATCACTTTTGGAGGGGAACACCCCCCCCACACTAATACAGGGCTCCTTAAAAGATACATTTTGCAACCACTTGAAACATGTTGCTTTTTCAACAAAGTAAAGGGAAACCACCATTTACAAGGCAATGTTCAGGTGTATAATGTAGGGATCCCTAAAAACGGTTCTCGGCGACCACAGAGTTGCTAAATGAGGCGAAACCAGAGGATGTGAGACGGCTTCTCCAACAAGAATGGGTTTCTCCGAATGTGACACTAGCCACGTTGTGGAAAGTGCCCAAAGGTCCAAGGATGGCGCATGACTCCCACAGATTCCACCGCACCGGGTCAGCCTTGAGGCTTCGGCCGAAGCCGCGTCAGCGCAGGTTGTGTTGCAGCAGCTGGAGGAGAGCGGCCTGTTCGAAGGGCAGGCCGGGGAAGTCGGCCGCGTGAAAACGAAGCAGAGGGTGCCAATTGCTTGGCTGGAAAAGGGGAGGCGGAGGAGTACCCATTTCAAGGCTGCTCCGGTGTGATTTTAATAATTTTTGAGACACCCCTTCGGCTTTTTCAAAGATCAAATCCGGGGCTTGAGCTGGAACATTTGCCGTGTTACTGATGGTCATTCCTTCTCCCTATGCGCCGCAAATCGGGCAGGAAGAGATGCTGCTGAGACTTCGTATGTTGGCAGCACAGGGCGCCCTGGCAGAAGCCGGCCATGTTTTATTGGCCGTGCTTTACTTCCATTTTCTGAAGAAGTTCTTTTTTATTTCCCCTGTTGGTTTTAAATGGAATCTATCACTACTAGAAAAATTCTTGAGGGGCCTCCAGCCAGTCAAGGCTTAAAATAGGTGGACAGGGACCCCAAACTGGCCGTTTCATTCGGTTTTTCCCATGTCAACGTCTAAAAGGGCACACAAAAAAAAAAGCGCGTTTTGGCGGCCGGTATGTACTGTGCACCGTAAGTGAACCAAGGGACGTGCAAAACACGGCTGAGAGGGTGCACTGGCTGGACTGCCATGGTCGCAGAGCAAGAATATCGCGGGAAGTGCACTGCATTGCACGAGCGCGACGCATTGACAAGTCAAGGGAATAAGCTGCACCCCACAAGTGAGCCTTGCTTAAGGGTTCTTTTGGACACTTCTGCTTGTGCATTGTCGCTTCGGTTGGGTGCCGGATCGGTCCAAGTGGGACATGCGTCAGACACCCCAGAAATCCTGGAAAGACAGCCGCATCTTTTTCAGGCTTCACACCGTGGCAGAACGGCCCAATGAATATTCCGTGCAAAACGTTTGACACTAAACTGTGCTGACATGCCAAAGGGTGGAAGGGTCACAGGCGCTGCCACTGCCAAAGCAAGTGAGGTGTGCATCCATTGGATGCATTGCGAGCAAGTCGCCTGCAGGAGGACAGACGTGGGCAGGCGGGACCCAGTTTGGTCTTTTGCCTGGGGGCTTGTCGTTCAACAGATCCCGCTGGATGGTGTTCGTAGGATGCGGTCGCTCGCAGTTGGCAGGAGGAGCCACGCGATGCTGTGTTGGAGTCATTCGACATCGAAGGACCATTTCGATGGGCACTCGCGAACTTGACCCCTGACGCCTGACAGCACCACCAGTCCAACACGACACCCAAGCTTGGGCTGCCCAAAGAAAGCGCAGCTCGCCCTGCCGTTTGTGCTGGGGTAACTCCACCGGAGGAGTTGCCAAGTACATGCAAGCCAGCAAGTGCAAGAACGTGGTGGTAATGTGCGGGGCTGGCATCTCCACATCCGCAGGGCGGCACGGATGCGCTTGCATGGTGTGTTTGACGTCCGCGCCCATCTTTGCTTCAGCTCCACATGTGGGTGTGGGTCAAAATGAAACCACCAGGGGACCACAGGTTTTGGTCCATGTTGCCACTTACCAGGGTTCCATCTTGGGTACCTATTTTTGACACACAGCCATGTGAGCATGAGCAGGGCCAGGCCAGAAAGGTGATTTTTGTTTTTTTTGATGCAACTAGTTCCCCCAGTAGTGCCCTTTTACCCTTTTTTCGGGGACGGATCCCCTACTAAAATAGACTACGGAACAAAGGGCACCCTTATTCTAACCTCTCTACTGGAGGACCTCGGCAACAGTTTCTTGGGATTTCGAGAGCCTTCCTTTTGCAATGGCTTCGGGCAGAGTAGGGTTTGTCCCAGATTAGGGGAACCTCAAATCGGTGCTTCCCTCTAATTTCGCTTCAAACTATGCCGCAAAAGGCGCCGGCGAAAAAAAGCCACATCCATTTCTCGCTGGTGCAGTAGGGAATGAGGGAATGAACTTCAGGGCCCATGGGGATGGTTTATAGGGCTCATTCCCTCATTCCCTGCTGAGCACCGGCAAGATGTTCGGTTTTGGGACATCGACGGACGCCGCCGCCAATTTCCCCGTGCCGAGGATCCCGGACTTCCGAACTCCGGGGAGCGGTTTGTACGAAGCTCGGCGGTTTGGCGTTTAGTCGAGCGATGAGAGGGTTGTGGGATCAGGGGGGGTGTTCCACTTCTCTTTGGTGCACTTTGCTTGGCTGTTAGGACTTTAACTTTTTGCCAGCTGATGGGTTTCTCACTAGACCACTAAAAGTAAAACTTTTAGCAGGGGAGCAGAAAGCAACCGAGTTCTGTGATGCAAAGGAATCTCCCCCCGTATAGGGGGAGGTAGTCTAGGCCCCTTTTTGTTGGATCACAGAAGTGGGTTCCATTTCCCGAAGCCCTGAGCGACGAAATTTTGATAAAGTCGTTGGCGGCCAGAAATCTCTGCCTAAATGATGCCCGCCTGAGTCGTGGTGATGATTATCATCATCCCTGCTGGTGGTGTTGGAGATGCGTAGTGATGACGATCATCATGGTGCATCATCACATCGTCATCGTTATCGTCCTTGTGTTTTTTCATATACGTTTCAAGTGTCCCGTTAGACCGACCGAAATTCATACCACAAGGGTCTCAAACACAAGGGGTCAAGGGGGATTCATAGGAGTTTCAACTGAAAGTGGGGGGATTTGATGGTTTTGATCAATCAGGGGTTTCAGGGTTGATTTGTCCTGGGCTTCGAATCATACGGCCAAGGACAACTTGCAGCGTTATAACCTCAGTCAGCCCGAGCTCATCTTCGACTTGGCTTTCTTTCAAAGCCAGCCAGGCACGAAGCGGTGGGTGGGTGGGTGGGCGGGCGGGCGGGTGGGTGGGTGGGTGTGTGTTTGTGTTTTGGTGTGTCTCTGTGAGTGTAATCTGTGTCTTTGTGTGTCTCTGTGCGTCTTTGTGTCTGTTTTCCTTTTGTCTCACTGTGTGGCTCTAAGCTGTGTGTGTGTGTGTGTGTGTGTGTGGGTCTCTGTGTGTCTCCGTGAGTCTCTCTGTGTCTCTGTGCGTCTCTGTGTGTCTTTGTATCTGCTTTTCTGTGTGTCTCTGTGTGTCTCTGTGTGGCTCTACGCAAAGCTCTGCAGCCAAGCCGCCTGCATTCAAAACCACCGGAGTTTTCAAGCATTATTTGTTTTTCGCGGGCACGGCCAGTCCCCGAGTTTTGACAACGCATAACTGCTGAGGGCCGGGCAAAGCAGAACTGCTTGAGCCAGGCCATGGACCCACTGCTTGATCCCTAAAATGGCTCGTCCTTTCGTTTTCCTTGACAGTCGCACAAGCATACTCTCAAAAATCAGACGCCAATCCATACCAATCCAACTGGGAAACAGTCAAAGGGCTCGCGTCTCCGATTTGCGTCTCTCGGCAAAAGCGACGTCGGCCAGCCCCCTTCTACGAGCTTTGCAAAGAGCTTTGGCCTGGGACGTACCGGCCAACAAGGGCGCACTACTTCATCCGCCTGCCCCTCGGCTTGCACGCCTGTTATGGCTGAAGTCGCTGCTCCGAAAATGCCACAACGCGACCCTTGCCTAATGACTTGGTGGGCGATGTGCGAGTTCGGTGGTTGCAATGCAGTCGGGTCAAACCTTCTCGTGTGCTAGCAACGGCGATTCAAGCAATCCATGGTGCACCTGAGCTGCGGGAAGATGATTCGCTGCGCCAAGGCTGGAGGAGAAGGCGCGCGCTTGAAAGTTGCCGCCTTTCAAAGCTGCTGCGATTTTTGATCCTTTTTGCTGCTTCAGGGATTCGAAGCCGGAAGAATTGTTGCTGCCAGTTTGGACCTCACGTGATGTTTGCCGTGTTTTCTGGATTTTCTGAAGCTCGCTGAAATTCTGAAACAACAAAACGCATGCTGGCAACAGCGATTGTCGGCAGGGCGTGCTGCGACGATGCTACACGCAGAAGCTTGGCAACGCTTTGCGCAGCTTATTCGTGTAGGAATGTGAATTTGAATCGGGAATGCCCTCGAAAATGGTTGCTGGACCTGGCTCTCCGCGTCAAATTTCCAAGGCCAAGTCAAACCGGAGAACTTTCCTTTGCTTCGAAGAACGCCGCCGGAAATCGGCCGGCCGGAGAGTTTCATGAGACACCAGCGTCTTAAAATAGGAGACCCCAAACTGGGGTTGCATTCTTTGGTTCCTCTTGAAGGCCTGAACAAAAAGACCCACGGCCAGTAGTGAGTGGCAACCTTTCAAGGGTGACTCCAGGGGCCCTGATCTCGCCGCATCGAATGGCACCGGCCGAGGAATATCGCAGCACGGCAGCAGGGGCTGTTGTGTGGGTCTGGTCGGGGCCAGCAGGCCATGAACATCAATGGCTTTTTTATGCATATAGCTTTCGTTTTTATTTGACTCACAAGCAAAACCTGGAAAATTGGAGGAAATTGGAGGGTAGTCAGGGGCAATCCAGTGGGTGCGGCCACCTCTTTTTTTTTGCATGGTTCTGGGTGGACGATTTGAATCCCAGGTTTGATTGCAACTCTGGGATTTGTGGCTCCAGCTGGCACCTTGTCAAAAGCTCAGGACTCTTTGGAGCGGCAAGCTGGTCTCAGCCCGGAGACGCTCTGAGAGAAAATTTCCCTCAACTTCACGAAGATGGCGCTTGCTGTGTTGGTAGCTTCAGGTTTCTCAAAAATAACTCACATCCTGGCTGTCTCAGAAATGTGATTGGGGGGAGGGGCGCCACAACTGCAATACCTTTTACCCCCAAAATGGTGGGTTTCCTTTCGGTTTCCCTTTAAAACACACCCAACAAATCCCAAAAAGGTGTACCGCCAAAAGCAAGACAGCCCCATTTTCCATAAGCCCTAGGCTGTGTCGAAGGCATCTTCCTTCATGGTGTTGCAGCTGAGGAAAGTTGTTGCGGCGCATGGGAACATGGATGAAGCACATGTCCTCGACTCTGTGCCGGAGAGAAAGGTTGACATTGAGGATGTCAGGCGCCATCTTGGCGGCCTTGCGACAGACCGGCTTGTTGCGTCAGCCAGTCAAGGTGCATGTTCCTTGCAACCAGCTTCGCATGTCATGCACGCCGCGTGGATCGTTGACCGCTCCAGGCGAGCGATCTTCGCTGGGGAAGAAGGCTGGCAGGCCCTGCGGCAGGCCCACGGAGGTCTGGTGAGGCTTAGCTCAATTCGTAAGCGACGGAAAGCGCCGAGTCAGCATTGAACTTCACTGGGCTGGCGGCTTCAATCAAAACCTGAGTGGATGGAAATTCGGGGACTTCCTCCAGAATAGGCGCGGAGAAATCGGGCATTCAGGTTCTGGCTTGTTGATAGCACGTTCATCTCAGGAGGTTTGATTTCCCAGTCATTTCAGGCATCCAGCATTTGGATTTACGGTTTGTTGGGCATAGCCCATGCATCTCTTGGTTAAGAGTCAGCACCTCATTTGGATTTTGGGGTGTAGCCTATTCATTCATCTCAGGTTTGATTTCCCGGTCGTTACCTCAGGAAGCCGAAGATTGTCATGTTTGGGGAAGACCTGCCCGACCGCTTCTGGGAACTGCAGCAGCAGGACTTGCAGGAGTGTGATCCTTGGCAGATGTCGCTCGGGAGGGTCTCACAATCCGGGGGAATTTCGCCCGTGCCGTCCTTCTTTTCCGCCCTCTGAAGACACCCTTTGCGTTCAGCCACGAAGAAACTGCATGAAACGGTTGGTTGCCGGCAAGGGGAACCCTGCCATGCAAGAGGTTTTGTCTCATGCTTCTGTTTTCCAGTGGAGATTGCCATGATTCGTCAGGACTTGATCTTTGTTCAAAGCCAGCAGCAAGACAATGTCGGTGTTTGGCTGCATTTCTCGAAATGAAAGCAACCCCTGGGGTTATGAATCGAATCAGCACTGGCAACAGCATTCACGGCTGTGGCTTTTCAGTGTGTAGGTACATTTTTTTGTGGGGCAGTGGAGGGAGATTGCTTCAACTCGGGGGTTGTCTCAAAATGGGGCGGCGGGTGGTTCGCATGGCCAGTTTCTCCTGCATCGTCCTTGGCTTCATGCAACCTTTTTCCGCTTTCCAGCAGCTATGGAAGCGGAAAGAGGGGCAACATCCTCCCAAAATGGTTGGTTTCCTTCAAGCTCCCCTTCAAATACCAACCAAAAGGGGGTCCACCATTTGGATGTAGCCCTTTTTTGAGGGTACTCCTTTTTTTTTTGGGGTCGTGCACGCCCAAAGAAAAGACATTTTGAGAAGCACGCGCCATGCCCACCAAGGATTTGTTGATCGTGATAGGAACCTCCTTGGTGGTCGAGCCCTTTGCCGGCTTGGTGGGGAAAGCGGCCCCGGACGCCCCACGGCTGCTCATCAACAGGCACGAACCACCGGGCTCCCGCATATTTTGTCTCGTTTTTCAGACCTCGACAGCAAGAGTTTCAGGTTCCTCTTTTTTTGGGGGGGTGAATTGGATTGGTGGATTTGGAAGTGCTGGCATTTGTAGGGCGCTGGGGTTCCCAGCCCTAACCACCAGAGAAGTGGCAGTTTTTTTGGAACCCACCAGAGCCAAGTTGAAGGGCCTACTGCTTAGAGCGGGGGCCCGCGAGATGATGGGCGGTGCTTTCGGATTTCGCTGGCCTCTTTATTTTGCCATGTTCAAAGTCACCCCCTCAGTGGTGGGTTTAAGGGAAACAACCAATTCCATTTCCTGATTTTGACAACCCCCAGGAACCATCAAAATAATGACCCCAGAATGGTCTGCCCCCGAAAAATAGGCCCGGAGGCTACCTGCAAAACCAAGTTCCTCTTGGCCCCAAATTCTGACCGATCCAGGGAGCCGGCCGGGACCTGCGAGCAGCGCGTTTTCGGCTTCCGCTTCCAGTGCTTTGGACGGAGGGGGCTCTGGGGTGAATTTGGGCTCGGTGCGATGTGCAGTATGGGGGCTGAGGTACGTGCACCTGGCACGTGAAGTCCACGTGGTCCAAATTTGGGGAACCCTTTTTGGCATGCCGAGGGCTTCAGCTGAACTAGGTCCCCCAGTAGTGCCCTTTTGCATTTTTTTGGGGTTCCCCTACTAAAATAGACTACAGAAGAAAGGGTACCCTTATTCTAACCTCTCTACTGGAGAACCAAGCTGTGTAAAAGTGGCCGTTCTTTTTTGGAGAACTTCCTGAGATGTTCTCACAAGGTGTCCCCCTCGGATGGATTGCATTGCCAGGTTGCCAGAGGGTGACAACTGGCGGGACGTGTGGTTTGAAGGCTCGAGCGCGAAGTTTCCCTGAGCATGCGCTTGACGCGTCGACCAATGTCCAGACATGGGGCCGTGTTGTTTTTTTTGCTCGGGTAGATGTTGGGGCAATCTGAGACAGACCCACATTGCAGTTGCTGAGGATGTTTGAGCAGAATCCTGAGTGGATGGAGTGGCTCCAACTTTTGAAGCCTACGGAGAGACTAGCGGGTAGTACACATTAAAGCGCAGACAGATCGATATGCGCATATAAACCTGGCAACGAGAGACGGAAAGCGAGAAAGCTCACACGACTAACTGACTCCATGACAGAGGTCCTGTTTTGACGGGGGCACCTCGGCGTGGACAGCCTTAGAGCCCACGCTACTGGACACCCTACGAGCTTACGGATAAACATGCTAGTCGCGGCAGCGCGACTTTGGCGAGCAAGGCAATGAGAGACTTTCAATTTTTCGGAACGATCAGACCCAACACTTGGATGAGCTGCACTGTGCTAGAACCTGTCTCCGAAGACGTCATTGAACAGGGAGTTGCAAGAGAACTCATGGTCCTTGAGTCATGTTGTTCTCCTTTACTTTCAGACAGTGCTTATTCTGGCCTGCAGAACTGGTCATACACGGAAAGGATGTAGGGCAGCGCTCGGCTCTGCACCGAGCAGCGCGTGGCAAAAACAAAGGATTGAATAGCGCCTTCCAATTGAAAAAGCCACGAACGGACCGTTGCGCTAGCACATAAAATCACGAACACAAGTCACGCACACAGGTCACTAGAACTGCTCCTTACTTTCCAACTCCAAGTCGCTGCTGTACGCTGGAAGCTTTGCCAAAATTTCGGTACAGAGTCAGTGGCATGCAAAGTCCTGAGCGCAAGAAGCCAGAAGTTTTTAACCAACACCCAGTTCCCAAGCCACGAGCCCCCAGTCAGCTGACACCAACTTAGTAGCACCACATGTTCATTTTTTTCACCTGCTAGCCGCACAAACACCAACACTTGGACATCAGCCGCGTGCTAAAGTTTCCACCTACTTTCACACTAAGTCATGAACGCATACTTGCACGCAAGCACGCACGCATGCACACACCCACACCCACACCTACACACCCACACCCACACACCCACACCCCCGCAGCCGCACCACCCACCCATCCACACACACACACACACCCACGCACGCACTTAGCGCCGCCACGCCACGCACACGCGCACGTGCACGCGCACGCTCACGCGCACGCGCGCACGCGCACACAGGCACGCGAACACACAGGCACGCACACACAGGCACACCGGCACTCTGGCGCACGAGCACCCCAGAGACTTCCATTTGAAAGGAATGTGTATATATATGTATATATCTATATATATATATTTTTTTCCCTGCTGGTTTTAAAGGGAATCTGCAAGTATTGGACGTATGTTTAGCTTTCCAGTGGGCTTACGCAAATGGAAGGAGACTACCTCTGTCAAAGGGCTGGGTTACAGGAACAGCTAACATACCACAAAAAGCAAAAGAGGTTCAACAGTATAATTTCCTGTAACCCAAGCCTTTGAAACTATGAAGCCCCGATCATTTCCCACCTTTGGTGCTTTAGGGTTTGCTAATGACGCGGCATTTGGTTGCGGGAGGATTGAAAAGTAATTGGATGAATTTGGCCTCTTGAGGGCGATGTGTTTGTGGGTCAAAGCCAATGGGATCCCATTTTGGGGTTTTCGGTGCGCCACCCATTTTTGTCTATTTTAGAGTGGTTGGATTGGGATGTTCACTGGGGGTACGATTTGGCTTTTGACCCATTGCCATGTGGGAATGGGTCAAAATCAAACCACCAGGGGACCGCAAATTCTAGTCCATGTTTCCATTTACCAGGGTTCCATTTGCCCGGGTTCCATTTTGGGTACATATTTTTGACCCACAGCCATGTGTTTGTGTGGTTCTTGTCAGGCGGTTGTGACGAGGGTTGCCACGCGCTGGCCGCTGCCCTGGGCTGGGGCGAGGATTTGCAGCGCCTGGAGTCAGAGGTGTTTCCGGCCAGGGGTGCTTCTCAGGGTGTGGGTCAAAAATCGGCACCCTCCCGCCACTCAACATGGAACCTGACAGAGGCTCCCTTTAAAAGGACAGTCAGCTTCCATGTTAAGTAGTGGGAGGGGACCCAAAATGGGTTGCCTGGTAAATGGAAAGGCCCTTCAAACCAGTCCCTTTCCTGTTTCATTTTTGACCCATACCCCCCTGACTGTCCGCTGGTTGACTCGGGCTCTCTCCTGAAAAGTTGTGGTAAGTTTTGAGGTTTCTGATTCTGAACTCTTGCCCTAGCTGGCCTAGAAGCCTTGCATGAGCTTCGCGGTTCCCAGCCGTCCCCTGAGCTTTTTAGGCTTCTAGAAGGTTCTGGTAGTTTCCATTTATTCCACTAAAAGTTAAACTTTTAGCAGGGGGATTTGAGGACAACACAGATGAGGTTGTATCTGAGGAGGGTGGCAAGATTTGCAGAAAAGTGATGAGTTTCCCCAAAGAACCTGCGAATCCAAAAAATATGTTCAGGGCTTGTCTTGCATTTGCGGAGTTGTGAGCATTTGCCTTCAGTGCCCTTCATTACACCATATTACACCGTTTGCACTTCCAATTTGCTGCTCGTTTGCTGCAGGGCAAAGGCTTTGTCAGATAGACGTGTTTCTGCTGCCAGGCCGAGGCTGAGTGAATCACGCGTGAGAAAAGGGGCCGGTCTGAAGAGCTTTTGCTGACAGTCAGGATTGGCGTCTTCCATTTGCTGAATTTACTTTCCCCGGCTGGTTATAAAAGGAATCTATAATAACTATTGGATTTTTGGTCATTTTAGCTTTACTGAGTCCAATGCTTCAATCTAGATGCTAATCTGGTTCGTGCGAGTGAGATATGGGCAAGCTTTGCAGGGTCCTCCGCCAAGTACACAGTTTTGACAATTCCTATGATACCTGTTGGGCACCAAAGTTGCAACCACTTTCATTGAGTGAGCCCAGGCGGAGTATGGTTTGAGACATGGTACAAACAATGATGTGTTGCATGTAGATGACTTCACCCTGGTTTTGTGTTCATGAGTCCCCCATTCTGTTTGCTGAGAGCTCTGGAATGTTGGACTGGTTTTCTTTGGACCTTTTCAAGCCCGGACAAGCACACGTATTGAAATCTAGAACGTGTTACTTGACGGTGCAGCGTTCGATGTTGCATTCCAATCATCGGACGTTCCTTGCTTTAGTTGTGGAAGCCGTGCATCATGACCAGCGGGCGGAGCAGGTTTCGACAAGGCGTGGTTGCAAGATGCATAGTGCTGTTTCAATCCCTTCCATTTGGTTAAGACTTGTTTTTCCCCTGTTGGTTTTAAAGGCAATCTATCACTACTGGATTATTATTATTTTTCCGGGGGACGTATCCGCAAATGGAGGAACCCTCTCGGACAAGGAACTTGCACGCCCGCTTTTGCAGGAGACCTATCCGGACACCTACAAGTGGATAGCCCGTCGCCAAAAGCCGGTTGAGGGTGGCACGGATCCACCCTTGCCGCACTGAGTTTTTTTCTTTTGTTTTTTTTGTTTTTTCTCAGGGGGAAGTGCGACAAATCTTCCATAGAGATGCAGAACTTTCATCGCACAATGCTAGACCTCCTTGGGCATGCGCCGGAAGCGCTAGATATTGCTACTGACCCTCCAGCAGTGCATGCAAGTTCGCCGCGCTTCCACTCGTCCAATTGTTAATGCACTGTACATGTCACAACCGGCTGTGTGCTGTTGGAGAAAAGGCTGCGGGGGCCTGTGTGGCTTGCAGGGCGCATTGCGAGACAAGCAGAAACTGCCAGCACAGATGTGCGCATGTGAGCTCATTCCTGGATGGCATTAGACAATTTGATCAACATGTGGCTGTGGGTCAAAACCAATGGTTCCATTTTGGGGTAGGTGCACCACCAATTTTAGTCTATTTTTAGTGGGGATTGGGATGTTCACTGGGGGGTACGATTTGGATTTTGACCCATGGCCATGTTGAGCAAGCCGCGGACGGTGGTCCATTGCTGCGAGAGGTGCCGCTCCGTGGCACGTAGGCTCTCAAGAGCCCCTCGGGCACGGGTCATGGCGGCGGAGTTGGAAGGAGTGTTGGACTTCCGTCTCGGCAAGGGTGTCATAGGCGGGAGGGCAGCGGCACAAAGACCAACATGTTTTGCCGTTCTTGGGTCTTCCGCGGTTTGTTTGTGTGCGTATTTGTACGAGCCTCGGGGTTGAGGCTCTCTTGCCGGCAAGGTATTGTCAGTTTCTTGTCCGGCGGCTGAAGGGGTTACTGGGTTCACACAGGCACAGGCAAGCAGGATTCGGCGGCGCCTCCACATTTTTGGCCTTGGCAGCTCGCGCCCGCGTTTTGGCCAGGGAAATGGGCGGTTGGCTGGTTCGTGCTGAGCGGCCGGCACTTGGAGCAGTACGGTGCTGAGAACGGGAAGAAGACGGAGGCAAGGCTTCAAGGCTCATTGCGTGCTATGCTCGTAAAGAGATCTGAGGCAAGCAGGCTTCTGTTCGCTTCTGTTTCCACGCGGGAAAGGCCTTCTTGAGATCAAGCTCCGCATGTGGTGAAGGAATGGTTATGGAGATGGGCCCGTGTTTCATGCACAAAGTCATTGAACATGTGTCTTCAGGATGCTGCTCACAGTCTGCCGACCCTTCATGCAAATCTGTCACAGGTCTCTTTTGGTTGGGCTACTGAAGCACCCCTTGAGAACTTCAAAGAATCAGAAGGTAAGCTTGTCCCGGCTGTGGATTCCACCCCTTTTCGGCCTGCGGTCCTCTGCGTTCGCACATCAACCGCGAAAAGGGTCGATCTGAGCCAATTTCAAAACCTGGGTAGATGAAGGTTAGCAAGGGGCAGTCCCAGCCTGAAATAGTTGCGGCCGCCTTTCTACTTCTTTACATGGTTCCGGGTTCACCTAAGCTAAGGCTCCTGAGGCTTTTTGGACCCTCAAAATGGGTTGTTTTCAAGGGCCCCCATTGGAGGTCCGGGGTCTTTGGAGGGCCCGGGACCCTGAGGGGTCATGAGCCTTAGGGCAGGTTTTCTAGGTCCACCAGTAGTGCCCTTGTACCAACTTTTTTGGGGGAGGGTTCCCCTACTAAAATCGACTACAGAAAAAAGGCCACCCTTATTCTAACCTCTCTACTGGAGGACCTGGTTTTGATTGTGACTCATCAGCTTCGCTGGCAGGAGGCGGTGAAGAAGGTCTTTGACCTCTCCGACGCCAACGACTTCGGCTACGATGTGGAGACTCAGCATCCGACCTTTTCCATGCCGGGTTGAAGAAATGGGAGTGTCTTTTTTAGGGGGCCCCCCAAAATTGCGGCTGTCCTCTTGTTTCCCTTTAACCCCCCAACAAGTGTACCCTCAAAAAAGGACACACCCAAATAGACCCCCAAACTGGTGGTTTTCTGGTTGTCCTTGAAAACCACAAACAAAAAGGGTATCCGGGTATCAACAAAGACACCCCGTATTGATTTTGAGGGTACCCCTGTTCAGGGAACAGCTCGTCTTGACACATCCCTATTTGTTTGGCGGCGGCTCCACATTTTCTGGAAAGGAGCCAGTACCCAGTTCACGATTTGAGGGCTGTTTGTTTTCTGTTTTCCCCCCACCCCATAAATCCCAAAATATGGGTAGAAACGCCAGAAACCAGCATTGTCAGCATTGTCGTTTTGTGAAGCTGTAAAGGAGTTGTGTCTGTTTGGAGGCGACCGAAGCCCTTGTTTTTGACCCAGTCGAAGGGCGCAATATGGAAACCCTCTTCCATTTGGTCTGTCGCAGTGGTTTTCTTGTGGTGTCCTACAGGTTACGGATGATTTCCCTTGTTGACAGATCCCCCCAATTCTTTTCAGCTGCAGTCTTGTCTAAAGCCACCCATCTTCAGGCAATTTGGGGAAGTTGGTCCTAGAATGACCGTTCTTTTACCACCCAGTTGTTCAGTGGCATCCTTTTTCCCCTTTTCCCGTTATTGCTTGGTGGGTTCACTGTGAATCGTTACCCCTGTTCTCCACATTGGTCACGCAAGAACAAACAAATAGATAAGCACTTTCCTGTGCTTGCGTCAAATGAAAAAAGGCCCCCCGCGCGCCAAGCCTACACAAACACCGACGTGCAGTAAGAAGCGCGCACCTGCTGCGCGGCTTGCAGTAGACGCGACCTGCCACTGGCGGAAAATATAACTCGAAGTCAAGCTTGCCCATGCCAAGACAATCCTCGTCACCGCCTAACGCGGACCCATTAACAAGCCTCCCAGGAATTGGTTATATAGTGGGGATTTCTTTCAGGGGGACCCTGATTAAGAACTGGGGGGATTAATTACTCAGGGGTCCTTTTCCCCCAGTTCTCCAGTGGGCATAGAAACCCGGAACACTGTCACTTGCATTTTTTAATAAACACCCAGCAGTTTTGTTTCTTCCTTTTTTCTCAAGCAAAATGTTAGGCTGGAATCGGCGAGACGCCAACCAGCCCAAACCAACTTATGCGAAGCCATGTGGCAATGCGCCTGGTGGCAACGTAAGCCCCTCGACAGCACTGTCCAAAATGTTAGAAACACGCGCGCAAACTGGCCGCCTTCTTTTTTTAACCATGGTCAAAGTCACCCCCTAAGTGGTGGGTTAAAGGGGAAACAACCCCATTTCTGACTTTGATACCCCCAAAAACTGTCAAAACAACGACCCCTGAAACACGCGCACAACCGGTTAGACAGGTTGCTTGACCACCTCTTAGGAGAAGAACGAGATCGCCCTGCAGTGCGGCAACGAGCGTATCCGCCTCCGCGGCCCCGTGGAGACGGTGCGCGCCTGGTACGACGCCATGCGGAAGAAGGCGGGGGCCTCGGTGACGGCCTGGAGGAAGCCCCAACCAGAATAAGGTGCGCCTTTTAAGTTCTTCACGTGGTTTCGAGGCGACCATTTTGATGCCAGGTTGTGAGTGTGACTCATTTGTTCCAGCTATCTCTTTAGCTTGTTAGCTTTCTAGGACCTAGTGGGGGTTCCATTTGGCCATGGGTTGCGTAACCTACAGCTCCATTTTGGGGTGGAGCAACCATTTGCCACCTATTTTGGATGTTCACCAGGGGTGCAGGGTTTTGACCCACAGCCGTTTAACCCAATCCGAGGACAGCCCAGTTGTCATAGGTGTCCTTTTTGGGTGCTTTGCTAGAAAAGTAGATGGCCCTGGTTTACCTTGTATCATCCACCAGGGCCATCTATTTCTGTCCTTTGGTTGCGGGATGTTCTTTATAACGGTGGTTCGAAGTGAAACACCAGTGGCAAAACCCACCAACAGAAAACACACACCCAGTTTAGATCAAAAAGGACCAAGTTTGGGAGATCAACAGAAACAAACACAAATTTGAGGATGTTCTTTATCGTCAGCTTCCCTCCAATTGGTGGTTTGGAACCGAATCGGTGGGTTCTTTATAAGGGTGTTCTTTATCAGGTGGATGAATACATCAAGGGTTGGTTTTCCTAAACTTGGTGGTTGTCCTTTATAAGGTTGGTTTGGTGGTTGGCTCAAATCTTATTGTTTCTATACTTATATACTGGGTCCCCCAGTAGTGCCTTTTCTCACCTTTTTTGGGGGGAGGGTTCCCCGTCCTGAAAGAAGTTGGCACCCTCATTCTAACCTTTGTACTGGAGGACCTAGTGTAGGAGGTCAAAGGGAATACCCTGCAAAACCACCAATTTCAGGGGAGCAACCGGAAACACACCAATTTCAGGAGATCAACCTTAAATCACACAAATTGCAGGAGATCAACCTTGAAACGCACCAATTTCAGGAGATCAACCTTGAAACACACCAATTTCAGGAGATCAACCTTGGAACACACCAATTTCAGGAGATCAACCTTGAAACAAGCCAATTTCAGGAGATCAAACATCTATATCTACACACACATACACACACACACATATATATATATATATATGGTCAGGTCCCCCCCCATGAACTACCTTTTGTTCTTTCTTCATAAAAGACTGCAAAAACACTGTTTTTTCCATAGTTTTTAGCTTTCTCGCCAATAAAAACAACAAAATACACAAAGCGGATTCCGTTTTGGTATGCCTTCTTGCAGACATAGTTCAAAATATGAAAAATAGCAAAAAACACTGTGTTTTTACGTGTTTTTTTAATATATATATATATATATATATGTGGGTATCTATTATGTTAAAACAGATGCACGGAGTTGGTCCCTCAATCTTGCGAAAAGCGCCAGGTGCCGCAGGCGCCGCCCGCCAACACCTTTGAGCCCCCAACGCGGGTGCAGGAGTCTTGACTCGCGGAGTCGGGGTTGCTCCGCGGAGTCGGTGGGTAACATTAGGTAGGTGTGGCTCAAGGGGCAAACCGCAGGTTTTGGGCCATGTTTCCACTTGCCAGGGTTCCATTTTGGTACCGGTTTCTTGAGCCACAGCCAGGTAGGTAGGTAGATAGGTAGGTAGACTATGGATTGGTAGATATGTAGGCAGGCAGGCAGGTAGGTAGGTAGGTAGAGAGGTAGGTAGATAGGTAGATAGGTAGGTGGTAGGTGGGTAGATAGGAAGATTAAACAACCGATGGCATCCTTTCAAGGGAAACTAAAGGAGGCGAGAATCAAAGTTATCACCAAAACACTGGGTAGCACGTGTCCGCCCCACCAGTAAACCGGAAGGTTGTTTAAGCAATGATTGCTTGAGCTTGTGCTCAAACAAGTTGTATTCCTGGAAAACCCAGGCAGTGCGTCTTGTCGCTTTTTCTGTGGTTTCCCTTTTGAAACCTGTTTGTTGCAGTGTTTTTTGGTTTTCCTCCTACGCCAAACCAACCAAGTCTGTGGTGCCTTGCTTCTTGGAATCATCTAGATGAATGGAAGATCTGGAAAGGTTTGGTTGCAAAGCCATTTTGGTTTGGAATACTCAACCGCGACTTGGCCGGAAAGGAAGAATCAGTTGCACCAAGCTTATTCGAACATGGCCTGTTCTGCCATGGGCAGAATTGGTTGCTTTTCAGGCAGGCTCCCATATCGTTTATTCAAATTCCACGGCTTTGGGGACTCGCTGGCCCCAAACAGCGAGTCCCCACAAGTTCGGGATTGTGGCCAGGAACGACGGGATCCAACTTTGAACATAAGGCCATCTTTTCTTGGTGGTTCCCAGCCATCCCCTCAGCCTTTCTAGGCTTTCAGCTGGTTTAGTGGTGGTTTCCATTGATTCCACTAAAAGTTAAAATTATTTTGGCAGGGGATCAGACAACAGATAGCCCAGGGGTAAGCCGTGAGGTTGAGAAGCAGACTTGGAAGTTGCCAGGAGCCGATCGACAACGACGTCGCCTCTGCGCCTGACGTCTCCGCGCGCGCCGCGGCTTCGCCGCCGGATGCGGAGACCCCGGTCTCGCCCAGGAGCTCTGGAGACGCCACCTCCCCGTCCGGGCGAAAAACACGCAAGAGCCTCTCGGACTTGGGTAGTGCAAGCGGAAGGCCTGAAAGGTATTCTAGGAGTTGCCTTGAAGGTTTTGGAGTTGGTTTTCAGGAAGGTTTTGGCTTAATTTGTGGTTTTTGGCAGCTGCAGCAACCGTCCAGCAGGTTATGGCCAAGGCTCAGGCAAGCCCGGAGTGAAGGCCTGTGAAGATAAGGTCTTGGGTTGCCGGGATCGGTGCAGCTTGTAGCGGCCGAAGGGCGAAATGGGCGAAATGAGTGGAATGGCCTCACCCACGATATCGCGGATTCTTTTGTGGGATCTGAGGATGGGATTGATCATGCGCTATGCAAAGTTTTTTTGACATGGCCGTGTTTCAACGTAGGGCCCTCCAGAAAAACATCATGGACTTAAGCTTTCAAGGATCCAAGAAGGGCGCCCTCCAAAAAAACATCCAGCAGGTGTCCCTTCACTTCCCCTTCCGAGCTGCTTTCAAGGATCCAAGCATAGGTGTCCTTTTTGGTTGCTTTCCTCGAAAAAAAAGATGGCGATTCCTGGTTTACCGGGTGTTTTTTGCTCACCTACCAGGGAAACCCATCTATTTCCCCTAAGGACACCTATGGATCCAAGGCTGCCCTAAAACAAAACAACACTCACCCCAAGCTATCCGTGGGCCTTGCCACCCAGCGGAGGCTTCTTCCAGACGCCTTTGGAGCACCTCAAGTCCCACGAGCGCCTGGATCCCTCGGTGGCCACGTCCCTCAGCAAGGCCTCCCAGATGCTGCTGACCATCTTCTACCAGCTGGACACCTCCAAGCTCAGGAGCGCCCCTTGTTTTTTTTGTTTTGTTTTTTTTTTTCTCCGACCAGAAAACAGCGCGCCTGAAAAACCGGAGCCGCCAGGTCTCAGGGGGGATGGTTTTCGGCGCAGAAAAAGGTGCCTTTGGAAGGGACACGGCGCGCCACAAGAACGCCCGTGGTTTAGGGGGATTGAGATGGAAAAACAGGTGGATCTGGAAGTTGCTCTGGAAGTCCTGAAAACCTACAAATCAGAATATCATCAACTTGCTTGTGCGATGGGTAGGAAATGACCTTCGGAGATGTTGGGAATGAACCGGTTTTGCGGATTCCCTTAAAGGAAGCCATGGGGGGATGATTTGTCTCGGGGTCATTCCAATTCTCATTCCTAACGAAGTCCCGCAAGTCACTGACTTCCGATGCCCCGCCCCGAATCGGAGGACCTCGGACCTGGTTCGGCGCATCGACACCTCCGGGGATGGGGAGATCTCCAGGAGCGAGCTGCGCAAGGGCTTGGTGGATTACCTGGGGTTTCTCGGCGGGATCTGAGCGCCCAGGTCTGAGAACCCGAAACTTGGTCAACGCCCAGCACCGAATCCGAGGATCTGATCTTTTCTACCCTCCTTTTAGTCCAGCTGGCAATGTCACATGGTAATTGCCCCCTTCCCAACAATGGAAGCTGACAGCTGCTTTTGTTTTACTTTATCTCCGCACGGAAAGGGGGTCCGAAACCCATCCACACATCCACATTTGTGTGGGTATTTTTAAGGATCGGTACCCTTGTTGGGGTTGGATTCAACGGAAACCAAAAGGAACAAATGATGTTTGTCCCCTATTTTGGGCCCTTTCTTGCGACGCGGGTTGAGTTCCAGCATCGTTCCAGACTTCAGGGTATCAATTGGGTTGGGGTGTCTGATTCTGCAGTCCCCGATCATTCATTGCATGCCTTTTGGAGTACAAGGGCAGCCATGGAAACCGTGCCCCCTGTTGCGAGATCGTTTTGCCGCAAATGTGGGCTCAGTCGAAGCGTTCGGCGCTACGGAGCGGCCGGACTGCACTGCGGGGGTTGGCTCTTTGCGTCGGAAGCCAGTGCTCCCGGAGCGTGGCGTCCGGTCCGTTCTTTTTTTTGTTTCCGATTTTTATGTTCCTCTCTTTTTTAATAAGCAAAGTAAGTTGTTTTTTGGCACTTGTGAGGTTACAGTTTACCAACGATGAGTTCAAAGAGCTGATGGGCGTGCTTGATGCCGACCAGAGTGACTCGATTTCCGTGAAGGCGTGGTCTTAGTCCATCCTGTTTTGATGAGTGAGCCTTTGGCTAGTAAGGGCCTTACCCTCCAGATATGGAACCCCGAAAACCACCATGTTTAGAGGAATCGCCATTAGGGGGGGGTGCCTTTTTGCCGGGGGAGCAACTTCGGACGCAACCAACTTGACCCGCCAATGTCAAATACAGGGTTCCACTTTTAGTTTCATTGTGGCTTCCCAGTTATAGACTTAAACCCAGGGGTTTTCCATTTACCATAAAGGGAAACCCTGGGTTTGATGTCAAAAAGTGGAAGCCTGGTGACATACCTCCAAGAACGGAATAGCACTTTGGGTCTTTCAACCCCCCGGCCCCAATCGGGGAGTCATAAGGTTACCAGATGGCTTTCCCAGACCTTGTTTGGGCAAATTGACCGATATGGCTTCACGACATGGCCCCCCAATGATGCCCAGATAGCCAAGTTGCTGCTTCTTTCAGCCACTGTTGCTGGTGTTTTGGGGTAAAGTGGATGGAAAGAAGCGATCGCAGCTGGCGATCCAGGTGTTTTTTTTTGTTTTTCGCGGCATGGCCCGGATCCGCAGGACAGGACAAATATTTAAAGAAAAGAAGGAACAAACAAACTCGGACGACTCGAGCTCCCTGGCGCCTGGCTTCGGTGGGAAAGAAGGGAAAAAACCGCGAGGAGTTCGACAGGGCCCTGAAGAAGGCGGCGAAGGGCGAGGACGTGGTGATCGAGAAAGAGGCGGAGGAGGTCCTCTACGACGCCATGCTTCAGATCGAGCCTTGGATGCTTCTGATCGATCGGACATCGGAGGGCTTCTATCCTTTTTTTGGGGGTTATTTTTTTGCTGGGTTTTCACATCGTTTGCCTGGACTGCCTGCATTCCTTTCATAGGCACAACCCTGGAAGACTGGATCAGTGTTGGCGTGCTCTTTAGCTAGCATCCGCAAGCTGTGCTAGCTGTGCTGGCAAGTTGTTGCCACCAACTGGAAGCCATTTTCCAGAGATTGAGAGGGGTCCGTTGTGGTGGGCAGTATTGGCAGCCTCCCTTTCTTGCAGGTTCCCGGGTTCGCTGGATGCTGACCTCTTACATGATGTTGTCCGGTTACTATAGTAATTGGAAACACTGGCCATGGCCAGGCGCGGCTTTTGCGCCCAATAGCGAATTCGCAGCACCCTCGTTGGTGTGCAAAACCACCGAGCGCCGGGCTGGCAGGACACTGTGAGCGGCATTGCGATCGACGCCAGCAACGGGGACTCCATGTACGTGGCTCGCGCAAAGTGGAAGGATGATGAGAAGGGCAAGGGGCCCAAGACAGAGGCGCGCCCCGCCAATATCAGCGGAGCTGCCACGGAAGACTGCGCAATCAGGCGGGCAAAGGGGGGCAAAGGGGCACCGATCGCTTCAAGCTTTTGTGGTCGTTGGGCCGCATGATTTGCCTTGGTGCCAGACTGCTTGATGCTTCGCGTGCGAAGCCTGCTGGACGGCTTTGAAGAGATAGAGCGACTTTGTTTCTGAGTGGTTCCCATCAAAGCTCGCGCCCCCAGAGATAATTACAAGCCAAGCGCCTAAAGTTGCACTTCACGCTTATGGGGAATGCGTACTTCTGTTTGCTGGATGATGTTGGATGTGTTAAACAACTCTTTTGCGATTTCGGAGCACCTCTTTGAATGCTTTATACCCGCCCAGCTAACGGCCGGACTCTGACGTTCGGGGGCTGCTGGTTTAGACCTCCTTTTCCTTTGGGGACCCCCAAAGGTCAGGTTCCGGTGAAGGTGGGACAAAAAACCCCGGAAAGGGGTTTTGCGCACCCGGAAGGCAGCAGCTGAAGCTGATCGCCAAGAAGACCTTCACTGTAGCCGTCCTCAGCCGCCTGGCACCAGACGGGGGGAATTGGGGGGGGGAAGGGGGGGGAAAAGCATCGGCTTGTGAGGTTTTGACCCAACTGGTATGGGGCCCTTCCAACCGTGCGGAGCGTGTTTTCTTCTTTCGCGGATGGACGAAATTGACATTTCGCACTACAGGCACCCTTGAATGATGGTTTCAACCATGGCTTGATTTGGCTGTGGCTCAAGAAACCGGTACCAAAATGGAACCCTGGTAAGTGGAAACATGGCCCAAAACCTGCGGTTTGCCCCTCCTGTTCAAATGTTGAGCCACACCCATTTCCTGGTACAAACAGATGTTGGAACCATCCGCATGAAGCTTGAGAGCCTGCAGAGGGGCCTAACCTTTGTCCCAGTCTGAGGCTCAGATTCTGGGGTCTTTTCATGGTTGTCGTTGCGTCAACCAAGTTTTGGTCATGATGCTGAATATGCGGCTCCCTATGGAAAGTGCCACGTGTTCCCAAGCGAGTCGGCGAAGCAGCCCACACCCCACATTGGGGCGATCCTTGGGGTATTCCCATGTGCTCAGGCGGCCAAGTAGCGCATGCCGTTTGTTTCGCACTTTGCCCATCGGAGCAGTGCCCTTTCGAAATCGGCAGATATTTCTTGGTGGCTCCCAGCCATCCCCTTAGTCTTTTAGCCTTTTAGGGCCTAGTGGACATTTCCCTCTAATCGACCAAAAGCTAAACTTTTAGCGGGGCATTTGAGGACAGCCAAGCACTAACATAGGTCTTAAAATGGGTGGTGAATTCACCTACCCCAAAATGGTTTTGACCCACAGCCACATGGAACCCACCAAAGTCCCCTTAAAAAAAAACCGGTCCAGGGACATCCCAGTCTGATTCCATGTTGGTGGATGGGGGGGGTGCGAAAGTTTTGAGGGTCCAAACCTCTGGCCAAGGCCGCGAAAACCGGATCCCTTCTCTCAGTTGTTCAAAGCGAATCGACCTTTTGACCTTTTGGTTTTCCCATTTTGGGTTCCCATTTTTAGTCATGGCCCCAAAAGGTGATCACCTTTTAGTCCCAGGTCCTTTGGGCAACTGAGTTCTTGATTTTGATCTTGGCTAATGGACATTCGGCCCACCGCCTGCTTTTCCAGGGTCCTGGAAGAAGGTAAGAGGCTGCAAACGAGAAACAAATCTGCCGCGAGGTGTGTGCCGACGGGCTCCAGACGGCTTCGAGGAGTTGGTGGGCCAGGTGGAGATGAACGTGCACAGCGAAGAGCACCACGAGCCCCGAACGGCATCGTCTTCTTCCATTTGCTTAAGAGTATGTGTTCTTTTCTCTTGTTGGTTTTGAAGGGGATCTATCACTACTGGATGTGTTTGTGTTTTTTTTTCCCCAGAAGGCTTAAGCAAATGGAAGTCTGCCTATGTTTGCAAACAAATCGCGCACCGTGCCATGCTTTCTAGCAAATCCCTCATTTCAGATTTGGGAATGGACGTTTTTTTTTTCAGATCCTGGCTCTGAAAGATGCTGATCGGCGCCCAGCACACCAGCTGGGCCCGGATTTTGTTGGTTAAGCCCAGAATGGACAATGGGGGCGTTTGAGAGTTCGCGAGCTGGGTTTCGAGCCACAGCCGGTTTTGAAGCTTCTATCACCTTTTGGGAAGCTCACGAACCAGACGACTCGCTTATTGAATATTGTTTTTTTCTTGCGTGTTTGCGCAATGCATTGGCCCTCAATGCCCTGTTTTCAGTACGGAGAACTCGTTTGCATCCAGCATAGCGGGGTTGCTTGTCGGGACCGGCGGCAAAGACGGTGAGCAAGCCCTACTCGCTTGCTCCCATGGCCCTAACATCTCGCGCTCGGCATGGACTGACCAACATACCCATTAGATGCAGGCACTTGCATCTCCCAGACTTGTTGACCAGCAGGCACAGCGAACAGCAGCAACAAAGGGCAATGTGAGCCACAATCAAAACCCGGGAAGTGAAGCTTTGTAAGGGACAATCCCAGCCACAAATGGGTGCGGACCATTTTGATACCAGGTTTGATCATAGCTCATGTGCTTCATGTGCCTTTGTGCCGCGATTGAAACAGGCATAGAGATGCAAAACCAACCTGCCAAGGAGAATTCAGACTTGAGACGGCCATGGGTTTGCGTGAAGACCTTGTGAAGATGGCGTTGCTTGCCGAGGATGTCCATCTTCTGCCACTTCTCACGGAAGCTGGTGCTTGGAGACGCAAGTAGGCCAAAGCTCGTTGGACTGGTTTCACGGCTGGGGTGGTCCATTTGCAAGCGGTCGCCCAAAGCATCATACGCTATGGCAACGCAGTTTCTTCACGTTCCTTCCCCCTTTCGCTTCGACAAAGGTTGCAGCTGCATGTGTTAAGCGTGCGCACGAAAGGGCGAGTCCGCAACCCGGTGCCCCGTCATTTTGTTGAAAGGTACTTGAGTAACGTGACATGAAAAGGACACGCTGATGCAAGACATGTTCCTTAGATTAGATTGTTCGCAGGAATCTGTAGCCATTCATTGCCACACTTCGATGCGTATGTCATTATGTGGTGTTACGTGAGTGTGCGACATACTTTCCAAGGCTCTAATTTTCCATGTGTGAGGGACTTTGTGAGGGAAGGCGGAAGAAATCCACGACAAATGCGAAGATTAATAGGGGGTGTTGGAGGGGCCACCCCCCGATAAATCTGGGTGAGTTATAACGACCTCACACGACCGAATTCACCCCAAATGGTGGTTTATGTGTGGAATATCCCCCCAAGCACCTTATTTCAGGCTGGTGAAAATTAAGATTCACCCAGATAGGATGGTTTCGTCGGCAAAACAAATTACCAATGCCTCGCCCCAGGTGCCAAGACGGGCACGAGTGTGCGGCTGCGGATCAAGCTGAAGACCCAAAAGCCGCAATTCAAGTCGGCCACTCGCCCGTCGATCTAGAATCTTTGGTGCAATTGCCAAAGGCCAGGATCAATGTGTGAATCCCCGAATAAAACCTTTCTATTCATCTATATAGTGTATTCAGAGGTGCATTTTGTTTGGATCTTGGGACTTAAACTTTTTTGTCCAACTAATGGGTTTCCCATTAAACCACTAGAAGTTAAACCTTTAGCAGGGGAGCAGAAAGCAACCCAGGAATTTGACGCCACTTTTCCGAAAAGGACTGTGTGGCAGGTTCAGCAACCTGCGAGTGAAATCCGTTGGTTTAGGGCTGGTTCCCAAAAACCTTTCTAAGGCCCTAAGCAAGTTTAGGGGACCCTAAATAACTCAAAAGGGACTCTCATCCACCCCCTTTCTACCTACCCCTGTTTAGAGATCCCAATGCTCCCCCGACGCGCGTGAGGGATCCACAAGTTTTAGGGGTTGGGGGGGAGGAGCCCAATAAGCCCCTTGTCAAGCCCCTAATAAGGCCTTATTGGGGCTCCCTCCCCCCCCCCAGCCCTCATGACACACGTTTTGGGGTCACTCAGTCGGCGTCCACGATGTCCCTGGCGCGCATGGGCTCTTCCGCGTCCTTGGCGTCCCCTCGAAGCGAGAAGAAGGACCCAGCAGGGCGGCACGCAGCTGGCCGCAAACGCGGCAAGCTGCTTGAGGGTGGACGGTCTAGAAGTGGGGGGTACCCCTTTTAAACAAGACACACCAAAGTGCCAAAATTTCCCCCCTCCGGTTTGAGAACATGTTTTTGTCATTTTTGATGGTTTTAACCGGGGACCTCAGGATTTCCAGGGGGGTGCACTCCTCTTCAAGGCTTCTCTCAGGGCTCCGCTTTGTTTGGCTGGTGTCATGGGGGTTTTTCGAAGTGAGTGGTTCTCCAATTTGTTTCTTTCTGGGCGGTTTGACCTTTGGACCCGTCGTCGCCCGGGTCCGAAACTCGGGGGGGGGGCTTCAACTTTGTTTTTAGGCACCCCGGTTTTGGCGTGCAAGCGGAGCGATAGGAGGAGGAGGAGAAGGAGGAGCCGGGGGCGCGCCTGGAGAAGCTGCGCCTCGATTTTTCGTCAGTCAACCCAAAGTTTGAGCATAGGCGCCCAAAGTTTGAGCATTTGCAGCGTATCCACAGCTTTGAGAATTGAAGGCAAGGCTAGCCCCACACGCTTTTGCGCAAGGCTACACCGCGCATCCTGAGGATAGGTGTGGATTGAGTCGCATGTCGTTTCTGCTTGACCATGTCAAGTTTCGACTGTGCTGAAGCCGAAAGGATGCCCTGGCAAAAAACAACACGCTTCAAGAATTGAAGGCGCAGCCCCCAAAGTTGGAGGATTGAAGGCAGCAAGGTAGACTTAAGCCCGGTGGTTGATTTCTCAAAGGGGTTCCCTTCCCTGGGTTTCATGTTGACCGCGTCTGAGTTTCAACCACCGTTTAAGAATATGGTGGTGCTTCTCCCTGGTTGAAATGCGGGAAGACCACTTTCGGAGGGGAACTAGAAAAAAAATCAGGTGTTTATTAATATGGGGTCAACAGAAACCAATAGTTGCTGGCCACTTGCCAATGAGCAAAGGAACAAGAACAGTTTCCAAGCACCAGACAGTATTTATGTCGGATTTGCATTGGTTTGGATTTGGATTTGAACCCTGGGTCCTTGTAGAGGATCAATGGGAAACCACCAACTCCAACCACCAAGCCAATCCAAATTACCAAGAGGGGAGCGCATATGTGTTGGATGTTTAGGCAGAACAATGTTTTAGACTTTACCCTCCAATTCCACATCATGAAATCTGACGAACGGGGGCGGTCCTGGTTTGGACCATTTCCCTCAACACGTGGACAGAAGGGCAACCTTTTTTTTCTTTCTTTTTTTCGCCTTTCTCATGGCCAAAAAAAAAGTTAGACGCAAGTTCTTTTGCCATTTTTCCTTTCGCATAACCAAAGGGAAACAGATGACCCTCCCTCCCACATTGCCATGGCATCTGTGGGAGGGCATCTGGAAGATCACTTTCCTCTTGGAGGGACCCCCTGTCAGGTGCCATGAAAACGTGGGAGACAGCGTAAACACCAGATCTTTTGGCATGATATGTGTTTTTCCTTTCGCATAAGGAAAAAGGATTGTTGGGAAACATTCTACATTTTTGCTTATGGTCGTTTACTGGTTGAACTTCAAATCCACTGAACTGCCAAAACTCGGTTTTTTGCTAAATCCCCACTTAAGTGCTAAAAGAACGGTTTTTTGCTAAATCCCAACTTAAATGCTAAAAAAAATGAAAACTGTTGCTAAATCCCCACTGAACTGCTAAAACGTGCTTTGGTCTTGCTAAAAACTCCCCACTGAACTTGTTTTTTTTTTGTTTTAAACAAATGCCAAAAATCCCCACTCAACTGCTACACATGTTTTGCCAAATCCCCACTGAAGCGCAAAAAAGGTCCCCATTTTTTGCTAAGTCCCCACTTAAATGCCAAATCCCCACTGAAACATTTTTGTTTGTTGCTCCCCTTCCAACGACCCACGAGGTACAAGCTGCACGCCGAGAAGCAGAAGCGCATGGAGGAGAAGCGCCAGAAGCTGGAAGCCGAGCCGCTGGCCCGAGGGAAATCGGCGTTTTTGTCACGTCCTTCCATAGGATGTCTAGGTGCTGAAATGTTTTTCTGGTTTAAACCTGTTGGTTTTGATATTTTTTTTAACCTGCTGCAAGGTGTTGGTTTTTTTGGTTTAACCTGTTGGTCTTGAAAGGAATCGATTTCAGAACTGGACATATGTTTCCTTTGATTAGGGGAAGCACATCATTTCCTTCCAGCAGGGTACGTGTCAAGCAGGGAATATATTTTTCCCCCTGCCGTTTAAAGGGAATGATTGATTTTTGGATTATTTTTCCCCAGTGAGCTGAAGCAAATTTTGAAGCTTCCCGAGTTGGCGGCTGAACTTGAAGCATGTTCGGTTACTTTTTTTTTGCGGCCAAGGACAAGCATCAGACTGTTGGCCAATCTCAGGAAGAGAGGGTTTCTTAGAACCGGCTTCTGATAGAAGTTTCTGATGATGTAAGGGTTGCTTGGAGGGTGTGTATGGGTGTGTCTTTCCTTGAGGGTATGCTTATGTTGGTGGCTCAGGGTAACCAAAGCGGCGCAGATTTTGGTCCGGGCTCAAGCGCGGACTTTTCACAAGGTCAGGGACAGATTTTGTGACAGGCGGGAGAACAAAAGGAAAAAGAAAGAGGAGAAAGTCGGAGAGAAGGAGCACAGACAGAAAATTATCTACACCTCTTGAATGTTGAAACTTCCGCCCACCAGCTCCTTTGCCCCTACTGGTATCCAAAAGCAAACCGCACCAGGCACGCAAGCTAACGTGGCTATCGCTGAAAGTTGTGCGTGTTTGTGCCAGCTGGCTGAGTCTTCTCTTGTGAGACTCTGTCCGAGAGCCAGCTTTCTATCAGTGCCCGTACCACAAAAGGTGTTTTTTCTTCTTTTTTCTCAGAATCCTTGGAGAAGCCACAAGCCGCTGGGGTGATTCATACCACAGCCTGAAAGCACCAGGAAGCAGAGTCACACGAGTGACCGTAGTTCCATATTTCCCACTGAGGCACATGGAGAAGCTCCAGCAAGAGGCCAATGACCTGCGGAGCAAGAGCATCAAAGCAACGGAGCTGTGCCCGAAGGCTGCCGCCGATCGCTGCTCGGAGAAAGGGAGTTCATGTTGCGGCGCCAGACGATAGAAACAGGAGTTTCTCACGAAATTTCGCGGAAGAACTAGGCCATGTGAAATTCCATGCGCGTCAGGAGCAATCATGACGCTCCTGTAATTGAAATCGTTGAATTAATGCCAACCTTTTCGAACTGTTTGCTTTTCCTTTTTTGGCAACCACTTTTAGTCAAGATTTCCCGAAAAGGCGATCGATCACTTTTTTTCTTCAAGGTCCCAGCTGGGGTGAGGCTTGCGCCCGAAGAAGATTCAGACGGCATGACTTGCTTCCAGCCTGGTCCATGGAGCCAAGGCTTGTATCGCGACAGCAAGGCGGGCGGTGGTGGGAGGGTCACGGTGGCGGTCACTGCCTGTTCAAACTGCCAAGAGGTCATGGTCCCCAAAGCCAAGCCTCTCCAAGGAATAAAGGCTCAAATATCAGAGGATTACAGAACGGGTCATTGCAAGGTCGTTCTGACAAGGAGCTGGAGCTGGCCTGATTGAGGGCCAACTGAAGGTTGATGTGCCAGACAGCCACCAGCATTTGGACGGGCTTGTGTGATTAGCTGTGATCTAGCCGTTTGCTCCACTTTGCTCGGTGATTCATTCTTGCTTCCGCTTGTGATGGTCTTTTGGGCGTTGCGATTCTTGCACCATGTTGCCTTTTGTACTCGACGTGCGACGTGTGACTTCGTATCCCGACCTTTGCATGACCTTGCCAAGGGCATCCGCCCTTTGCATTGGCTCACTTTTCAGGCGGCCCGCTGGGTTTGGTGGATTGGTGGATTGGTCGTGCTCGCCGGAAATTTGAAGCGCCCGATGCTTCTTTTTTCTCTGCAGGCCCGGATGAGGCGGAGGCGGGAGCATCAGTACGCGCACTACCAAAAGGAGGAGGACACCATTCGCCAGTCCAAAGAGGCGCTGGCCTCAGCGGAGAACCGGGCCCGAGGGACCCAAACCAAAGCGCAATCAGATGGAGGGCGATGGATGGAGATGGGTCTGCGTTGCAGGCAAATCGCCAGGATATAGGATATGGATCGCAGGCTTTCCTCGTTTTCCATTAAGGTTCCATTCTTGGGTGCATTTTTTTGACCCGCAGCCAAAGACTCCTCCTAGAAAGTTGCAGAATGCAGCCTCCAATTGACTCCAAAGCTTGATGTCATGTGCTTTTGGCCTGGAAGCATGGAATTGTTCATGAAGGGAGGCCTTGTCTTGCTGGTGCTCAGTAGGGAATGAGGGAATAAACCTGGGAATTCGCTTAAAGGAAACCGCAAGGGATTGTTTCTAGGGTTCATTCCCTCATCCCCGCCGAGCACCAGCAAGTTGCGTGCTGCCTTTGACGCAACCGCCGCATGCTTCACGAGCAATGAAGAAAAACTGTGTGCTCAAAACACAGCCTCGAACATTCTGGGCTCGGAAAGTGGAGTTCTCCCGAGGAGTCTCGCCGCTATATGAGCCGGTCCTTGTCGGAGGCTTCTTGGCCAAGCTGAGGCCTTGTTGTGGTTGCCGCTGCCGCGCAGACGTGCACAGAGGAAAAACCACGTGGGTGTGTTGCAAACAGAACAAAGGGATGCACAGATCATTGGGTGGTTTCCTGGTTGCTTTCCCTTCAAAAAATGGTGCCACCCAAAAGCCAAACCTCACTTAAGTAGGTTTGGGACTCTCTCTTTTTTTGACAAATGGGGTGGAAGGATGGACACTGGGGCAACGGTAAAAGACTGCCGGGCAGCGCGACCAAGGCTGAACTGATTTCCTCGGTGAATGCTGGCAACCGCTTGCACGACCATGCCATCAACAAGCAGCTGAACTTGGAGCAGAATCTTGGACATACGGTGGACAAATTCCACTTCACACCAGCTCGCACTGACCCCGGCACATGGGAGTGAGTCTTAAATAATGGGATACTCCACCTACCAAGGATTTTGTCCATCCACGTGGATGGTTACCATCCTTTTTGACATGGAACCCCATGAGGGCCCATGAGGGAAAATGCCTACCAGGACCCGAAACGTGAGGTTCCATGGCAGCATGAACTCGGGGAGGGTAGCAGCTGGCGACAGAAAGCATCATGGCACAGTTAAGTACTGCTCGCAGGCAAGGCATTGTCACCATGCGGGCTTGTCTCAAACTGAGAACACGGTTGGATTGGTTTCCTTTTGGTTTGCCTTGAAACAAGCAAAAGTGGCCTCCCTGAAAAAAGACACGTCCATGTGTTCGCGTGAGGAAAATCAAGGAGAAGAGCGAGGCCTGCGAGGGAGTCGGGGTTTTTAAGCGGAGCCAACCGCATTGGGTCTCCGTTTTGTTGGAATTGCTGACTTCTTTGTCCATGTTGTGGATTTTTCTGGATCCTCAACAGTGCGCCATCCGTGTCTCCATGTTGTTTTCTGGATCCTCAGCAGTGCGCCCTACATTGCTTAGTTCAGAGATACCTCCTGACATCAAAGGCAGTCCTGGTATAGTACTCGTTGGGTTGCGCAAGGGGTCTGGGGCCCTACTGTGGATGGACGAAATCCAATTCGCGCCACCTTTCCGAAGCCCTGGAATGATGCGATTCCCCAGCAAATACCAACAAGCGTTATGGTTTCAACCATTCTACTGGCTGCTTCCCCATTCTTTTCAACCATCGTTCTTTTCCAAAACCAGCTGTGAATTTAATGGTTTTCTGAAAAGATGGATTTCTGGAAAACCACGGTTTCAACGTGAAACGTTATGGTTTCAACCATGGAATCCTGCACCTCCTAAGAAAGCCTGGAATGATGATCCCCCAGTGAATACCAACAAACGTACAGGTTTCCACCATGGCTTCAAAGTGGTGCGCAGGGTCCACGGTAGGATGTGCAAGCCCTCCGAGAGTTCCGTGAGGCCGAAGTGAGGGAGGCCAAGGAGAAGGCGAGCCGCGCTCGCAGCGCGGAGCGGGGAAGCGGCCAGCCGCAAAGAGCGAGCAACTTGACTGGCACCGTAGGTATCCTTCCTCTCAGTTTGGACACCTGGGGTTGAGACATTGACACAGAGCTTGGGTTGATAAAACCACCATGGCTTACCTTGGGATGGTCATCATCCAACTTTGGTCCTTCAACCCGACCCGGTTGAACTGCAGGGTATGCTTAGAATGCCCTTAGTTCAAGGTGTCCAAAAGCCAGGTAGAGCGTTGTAGCTGTGTGTGTGTGTGCGTGTGCGCGTGCAACCTCTACAAAGCGGAATCAGGGCTAAATGTCGTTCTGGATATTCTATAGTAAGCAACCTTATAGTGCCAACTTTATAGTACCAACCATATATTTTTGGCAACCAGCCTAGTACCAACTCCAAAAAGCAGCGCAGCCCCTGTCCATCTTTTCCAGGCAGTGCTGGAGCTGTTGTGCCGGAAAGGCTCTACCTGCAGGCGGGGGGTGGCGCGTTTATTGGAAGTACCAAAAGGGGGATGGTTTTAAACTCACTGTCTGAGTTCCTGGACTTTGAACTCGTTTTGGGCTTGGACCATTGAGTGTTATAATACAACTACTTTTTTTTGCCAATTTACTCAGGGCGTGAGTAAACGGAAACCAAAAGGGAACCACTTTTTTCGTTTGGCGGGGGTGCCTGACTTTGAAGCACAACCATGGATTGTGTGGGAAATGCTGTTCAGCGTGGACCGTTGCAGACTGGTCATCCTGTCACGATCTACTAAAGAGGGTGCAGTCGGACTTGATATGCCTAAAGTCCAGGCGCGCTCGGGCGGCGAGAAGCACTGTTTCATGCGATGCTGATAGGTTGCTGGCAAATTTGTGGCTCATGACTCATTTTACCGAGTGATCAAAAAGGTCACAACTTTTTCCACGATCGGTCCGCAAACAACGGCGAACACATGTCCAGAAGGCAGGTAGACTTTCAATGTGATTGCATGAGCCAAGAGGAAGAAGCTGAATTGCTTTGGGCTTCCCGACAGTATGGTTTGCACTCTCCATCTATCCAACATGGTGTGTCCACGGGCGGCATTTGCGCGAAAACCCAGCTAGTTCGTTCGACGCACAGGTCAGGATCTTGTGCATTGGATCATACAGCTGGTTGCTTTTAGTAGTTCTACTTTAATATCAGCCCAACATCAAGTGAGTTGGAAGACAGGCGGGGATGCATCCATATGTGCGCCAGCCTGCTTGTTGCCTTGAGGTTTTACCAGGGCTTCAGCCAGACGTGCGGGCATTTGGCAGCTTTCCTGCCTTAAGTATGAAGCAGGCTGCATGGCATTTGTACATAGGCTTTGTGGAGAGCTTGAGCTTGTTGCTGGCACCTGCTCTGTTCAGCGCGGTTTGAGCAGAACCTGGTCACAAGCCAATGGCATTCAGGGCCAATTGCTTTCGAAGCAAGATCCTATAGCACGTCACATGGTGCAAAGCAGGCGCTTGACAACATGCAGCATGAATAAACCCTAAACCTTAAACTTTAAACCCTAACCCCCCCCCAAAAAAAATAAAAAAAAACAAAAACACCCCAACATTTTTTTGGGGCGACGTCTTGCTTATGCCCATTCTCCGCGGCCAGGGCATGGAGCGCAAGCAGAAGAAGGACCAGGAGCTCGAGAAGGCGAAGGCGGAGGACGGACCCCGACTTCGGCGGCAGCGTTTTCGGCGCGTTTTCGGCGTGTCGAAGCCCGGTTCTTGTAGAGGGTACATGGGAAACCAGCCCAAGCCACCAAATGGGTATGGGTCAAACATAGGGTAACCCCAAAATGGGTTGGTTCCTGATAACATGGAGACCACAATTTTCCTTTTTTGGTTGTTTTGGCAAAAGAATCGATGGCGATTCCTGGTTTGCCAGGTGGTTTACTCATCTACCAGGGCCATCTATGTCCACCAAATGACACCTATGGCTGCAGGTACTTCCGCTGAGGTGAAAAGAGTGGTCAAGTCCGATGAGTACTTAGTTTGTTCGCGGTGGTTTTCGCGAAGATGAGAACTTTGGTTGTTCGCGGTGGTTTTCGCGAAGAAATCCAGCCGAACGGAAGAACAGTGACATAATTGCTTGTCAAGCGTATTGTTTGACTGTCTCAGAGCAAGGAGCGCGAGAAGTTCATGTCGCGAGCTGCTTTGGTGGCAAGTAGGCAGGTTGCTGAGGGCAAGTTGTGGAGCAACCAGATGTCATGTGGTGGCGCTTCCACAACAAAAGAGCAGACAATCACCAATTGCAAGGGGATTTACTAGCTCCTTGACATCGAGTGCCTTGTTGCTTGGTTGCTACCGGTTGAACGAAATCTGGGAAGCGCATCATCGTGACTTTGCTGAATTTGCGGGTTCTTTCTGGCCAGTGGACACACCAAGGAAAAGTAGGGAGTTTCTTCGATCCAGTTGGCAGCCAATGCCTGGAAGAAGATGACTGCGGAAAACGCCACTTTAATCCCAAGTGTCAATAAAGTGGGTGTCCGTCTTTTGCGGGTCGCCCAGTTTATGGTTTCTTGCGTGCGGGCCTTCAGGGTATGTGCGGGCCTTCCGGGTTGGGTGGTGCTCGTGGCTTCTGAGGTGGTCGGGAGCACCCGTCACTTGGCAAGCAACAAGAGTCATGCGCAGTCTGGCTTGCTTTGCCCGGTGCGAAAGAACAAACCCATGTGAAGTTCCACGCGCGTCAGCGCCGGAATCATGAAGCCTCTCGCTGGGGCGCGGCTCAGAATTCAAGAACCAGGTTACGCAGGTTTTCGTCTTTGGTTCCATTCACCAAGGTGCCATTTCGAGCCAACATATACTTACCAAGTTGCTTTGTCCAACCTTTACCAAGACGTCTCTGGTTCCGTTTACCACGTTTTTTGAGCCACAGACGTCTTCGAAGCGCATGTCCAAACCTGGCTGCGCCGAGGTTATGTCAAGCCCCAGTGCGACTGCAAAGGCGGCCGCTGCCAGGCGGGGGTTTCCTGCCCTCCCCCAGGCTGACATGCCCCTTTTGGAAGACTTGGTTTCCTAGGTCCCCCAGTCGTGCCCTTTTACCCTTTTTTGGGGCATGGTTCATGCGCCGAAAGCAGAAGAGAATGAAGCCACAGTTCAAGACAGCAGGACCACATGCAAGGTAACGTCGATAACATGTCAGCAACACAGGTGTCAGGAGTGCAGACTTTCTCAGGTGGCCAAGCCGCTGATCAGAAACGCGCACGCAACACGCGCGCCTTTTTGCCCCAACGCCTGGGCAAAACGTGGCATTTGCTGCACAGCATCTGAAGACGGGAATTTCACAGGCTTTTGCACTCATCAGCACTCAATTTCGTGGAAAGAAGCAGTCCAAGATCATCACGCTGAAATGAGCAGCGGTTTTAATCAAATGAAAGGGTTTGTACAAAAAGGGAAATGCATGTACTTTGCGGAGGCAATCCTGGTTGGGGGGCGTAGGCTCGCGTAGGCTTCAACGCGTAGGCTGTTCTGTCACCCCTCGCGTTGGCTTTTCGCGTAGGAGTTTGCTGAACAATGCATGACTCAGTGCTGTTTGCCAAGTAAAAAGGAATTTGCTTCTTTTGCCTTCCTTCTGTTTGTTCTGCAGTCTTCGCGTAGGCCCTGCGCAGGCATTCGCGTAGGCTTTCAAGGCATTTTGGGTACGTAGACCTTAGCTTTTTTAGCAGCCAGATCCTTGGACAGATGTGGGATTCTCACTTGCACTGCAACTCTGATCTTAGAGCCGGAGCTGCCAAAACTGCACTTGTACTGAAAAGTTGCGATGTTCCAGCTGGAGCTGCACTTCGACACTTGAACTCAACACTTGCCCGCGTACAGGCATCCGCGTAGGCACCTGGAAGCTGACTTGTGCTCGCGTAGGCCCCTTGCGGCCGCGTAGGTTTGCGTGGGTCTTCGCGTAGGCATGCAAGTAGTGTATAGGCCTCGAACCACCCAAAAAACACTGCTCAAAGGGCAATGGCAGTCGCTAGTCAGCACTGCGCAGCTTGATGTAGAGTCTAGCTGAGCAGCAGGGTTGCATTCAAAGGGTTTCCAGTCCGATCGTAGCCTATGAATCATGGCCGCAGTGAAATTTCCCCAATTCTCAATGCAGCTTGTGAGAAGTTTGCTATTCAAACGATGCCCTGTGCATGCAATCTGTTTCTCGCTCAGGCCGATCACCACCGCATGCGCAGCGCCTTGCAATCACAGTGGGGCGGGCAAAGCGGGGAATGCTACAAGCGCCAAGTCTGGCCCATTTTTGGGCTATTCCGTTTCCTTACGATGCCATCTTAAGAATCAGAAGGGAGTCCCTCAAATCGACATGCATTCAAGAGGAAGTTGCCCCTTTCCGTGGCGTCCTCAAATTTGCGTCTTGCCTCCAAGCCGCCTTTTTCACATAGAGGTCCCAAGAATTCAAGACGTGACTCCTCCGAAAGGACCCGGCGGCGTTTGCCTGTCGCCTTCCGAAAGCGCCTTCGGCGGGCGGGTGCCTTCGCCTCGAGGTTTGGGCGAGGGCCAGCTGAAGAAAGATCGCTTCGTGGAGCTCCATGATGAGCATCAGAAGCGGGTGCATCGCCAGATCGAGCTGCGAGCGCGGGCCCCGGCGTGTATCGCCTCAGCATGGCAGGTCTCAGGCGTGTCGCTCGCGGCACACGGCACCCAAGGCGTTTTAGTGCTAGTGAAGCCTGAAGTGGTTGGCATGTAGCTCGCGGGTAAAAAGCATGGCGCAAAGTAGTATGGAATTTTCCTCCCAGGAAACCATTGGGCTTCATATGTTTTACTGTTAACACTCAGATGTTTTGCAGATGGATTTTGCTTCGACATGGCATACTCATGCAACTCATACATACGCGCACATGCATATGTTGATTTGACCCTGGGCTGGGTCGTTGGGTGAGGTGTCGTTTGAATCCATCACAATTAGAGGCGATCCTAGTAATCACTTCTGTCTAGGGATGCCTGACCACTGACATGGCTGTCGGGATTTTTGCCCGCCGGAACATAACGTGGGAGTATCAACAAAATAAGAGGAGCCCTTGGAGACAACCATGAAGCCGACCATGTTTGGAGGGTCGCGTTTCTAGATGCAGTTTTTAACAACATGCCATTGTTCACCGCGTGTATTTTTCAACGAGGTTGTAGATGCGCTTTGTTTAATGATTCTATCACAGCAATTGCTGTAGTACGTTGGGTGTGACTCATTCTAATTCTAATTGGGGGCCCTCTGGTGGACATTATTAAGGTGGGGATTCATGTCCACCTACCATTTGGGAAGGGTGTTCCCTATGAAGGTTGTTCTGCCATGTAATTTACTAATCAACATGGAACCTGACGTTCGGGACCCGGTTCCGGGACCCCCCCGTTTTGTCGAGTCCGGTTCACACCCCTCCCAAATGGTTGGTGGACATGAATCCCCACCTAACAAAGCTGAGTGCGGCAACAAAGCCCCTTGAACAGGAACCTGGTCCAAACCAGGACCCATTTCCCCCTTTTGTCCAGTCCGGCTCCATGGGTGGGAGGGTAAAGCTCCACGCTCCACCCGCGTGAACCGTTGGCGCGGTCGGTTGGCGCTAGGACATAGGTGTCCTTTTTGCTTGTTTTGGAACGTAGATGGCGATTCCTGGTTTACCTGTTTTTTTTTTGGTTGTTTTTTTATTAATCATCTACCAGGGAAACCCATCTATTTCCCCTAAAAGGATATCTATAGGAGTTGCCGTCCCACCAATTTACGTGGGATTGTTCGACGTTCCTTTTGAGTCCCGGAAGACCGTGTTCCTCTTAGAGGAACCCCCACAAAGGACACCGAGACGGCGCCAGGAGGAGTCCCGGAAGAAGGAGGACGCCAGTCTGAGCAAGGCCATCGAAGAAGGCCGCGCGCGAGCGCGCCAGAACTTGGACAAGACCAGGAGATCTCGGGGCTGTCAATTTTTCGGGTTTTGGCCGGGAGGTGGGTCTAGGGGCGGGGTGTCTTTCTTTGAGGGTAAACTTCTTTCTTTTATCTCGTTTTTTGGTGTGTGGTTGTAAAGGGTCAGAAATTGCGGTGTAGCCCAACTGAGCAGCGTTTTTTTCTCAGATGATGGATTTTAGCTTCGTGGGGAACTCCAAAAAGCTCCGCGAAGGCACTTGTGCGATACATTGTGTACCGCGAAGCCCCGCGAAGCCACTGCGCGTAGCCCGGTAACATTGACACAGGCGAAGCCACTTCGCGAAGCCACTTCGTCGTTTGAGCGTATTGCGTGCTTTCATGGCAAGTGTGTTGTGCGCTTTCATGGCAGTAGTATTCCAAAGGTTGATGTTTAGAGTCAGCAGGCTACGACAAGATTACAGGAAAATTACGGGAAGACGACCGGAAGAGCACTGTGCGTTTCAGGCTCGGTTTTGCTAGAAACGATGGAACGTTTTCGCGAAGCCTCTGCGAAGCCCCCGCGAAGCCCCCGCGAAGCCTCCGCGAAGCCACCGCGGTCCAACTTCCATGCTCCGCCCCTTTGAGGCCCAGCCATGTCCCCTAGTCCTGAAGCTCAATGCCTCTCTTGCCGCCTTTCATCGAACCCTTTCGCATGGACTCAACTTGATTCAACAACATGGGGGCGCAAATGTGAGAGATGTTTGTGGAACAAACATCCGCGAAGCCCGGCGAAGCCACTCCGCGAAGCCACAGTCTTGCCGCGAAGCCTCGCGAAGCCAACCCTTCCACAAATTCTGGCCCCGCGAAGCCCCCCGCGAAGCCTCCCCAGCAGTGTATAAGCCCTGAACCTCTAAAAAAAACAATGCTCAACTGGGCTTAGGTTCGGTAGTCTTTTTTTAAAGGACAGCCAGGCAAACTACCAGCCTTAAACTGACAATTTTGTTTGAGGGTCCCCCCCCTTTTTGTGATGAAAGGACAACCAGGAAAACTACCAGCCTTAAACTGACATATTTTGAGGGTACCCCCTTTTTGTGATGAAAGAACCAAAAAAAGGAAAACTCCCATTTTGCGGGGGTCCAACCTTAAACGACACACCCAACAAACGAGGACGCATGTGTGATTTTGAGGATTTTTATATTAAACCCTGGGAATACACCCACTGGGTATTGACCCCATTTAGGCACATTTCCGGATAAAGCAGTCCTATTTTGAACCATCTTGGGCCATTTCCCAAGGGTGTAATCCCAGGGTGTAGTACAAAAACCCTCACCCAGTTGCCCAGTGGTGCCCTTTGTTCCTTTTTTTGGGGAAGGGTTTCCTTGAAACTAACCAACCAAAAGAATCATGTCCTGTTTTTCCCCTGGCTACTGGGCTGAGCTCAGATGCTCCTTTGGTCTCCCACCCGATAAGGAGCACCAGCCGGGAGCTGATCCCTTGGCACGTGCGGCTCACGCAGACCAAGCCCAAGCCCGAAGATCCCAGCAGCTCGGATCGATCCGCGACGCGCGGACGGCGCAGGCCGCGGAGCCCATGTTGAGTGCTCGGGAATGAGACGTGGCTGTGGTGGTCAAAACCGTTTTGGGATACCATTTTTGGGGTAGGTGAATTCACCATCCATTTTGGAACCTATTTTAGTGGTTGGATTGGGATGTTCACTGGGGGTACGATTTGGATTTTGACCCAACCATCGTTCAAACCCGGATCCGTTTTCCCTGGGTTCCTGAATTTTTCTAGAAAGAAGGATCCCTGGAAAGAATGGAAGTAGAAGGTACCCCTAGACTGGTGCTCAGCAGGGAATGGGAAATGGAATGATGACCCTAAGAAGAACCATCCACTCCCTAGAATGCCTAACTTCCTTCGGGAATCCCCCTTCCACCGGTTCATTCGAAACCAACACCCGGGCTCGCACCCCGTCATTCCCTGCCTATGGCACCGATCGCAAGCGTGACGGAACAGTGCCATGAACTCACTTTGCTAGTTCTTCGCCCTTCCGGCCATTTCTCTTGCCCACGTAGACGACCAATTCAACCCAATTCGACTATCCCTGAGTTAAGGGCGAGTGCAGCTTCTGAAGAAAGCATGGAACACTTTGCTAGTGCTTCGCGTTTCCATCATTGTCTAGGTCCCCTAGTAGTGCCCTTTCGCACCCCTTTTTGGTTGGGAGGGTGCCCCTACTAAAATAGACCTTCCAGGAAAAAAATGGGCACCAACTTATTCTAACCTCAAACTACTGGAGGACCTAGGAGAGCTACATGGCTGTGGTGACCTTTTCAGCTTAGTTTGGTCTCTGAAATAGATGGGTTCCACTGGTTGAGATTGGTTTCACTCCATTTTACCTGGGAAACCCATCTATTTTACCCCTTCTTCTGGGGGTGTGCGATTCTGGTTGAGCATCGCGGTTGCAATCCGAGCCAATCCGAGGCAAGAAGCCGCCGGCGGTGCCGAAGCCGGCTCCGAAGGCCAGTGGGGTGGATTACATCTTGGAAGCCCTGGCCGCAACTGGCGCAAGCAGCTTCCGAGCGTTTTTTTTCTTCCCCAGATTTTTCCCCCTTTGTATTTATTGTTGCTTTTGTGGGGTCCCCTTTGTTTTCCACTAACCAGGCAGAAAAGGTACTTTTTTGCTGGGGTCCTAGTTCCAGCCAAGTTTTCTGGGTGAATTATAACGACCTCACACTGAAATCATCCCAAATGGTGGTTTATGTGGGGAATGGCCCCCCAACCACCGTATTTCAGTTGGTGAAATATTATAATTCACCCATATTTTTGGAAGGGAGCTGGCTTCCAAAAGTGGAGGAACTCGAGGGAAACCGTGGACTCGTCAATTGATCAACTTCGGATTTGGGAAAATCCAGTGACCCAGGTCTAGTTCTCCAGATTGCTCAAGTTCTTTCCGGTATCTCAAAGTCGTTTTGGCGGACTTAGACAGACCGCTTTTGGTGAAAATTGCAAACAAACACCCCCGAGTTTAAGTACCTTGGGATGTAGTTGTCTGGAGTGTGATTGGGCTATGGCTGTTATGGGTCCATGGTGGGATCCCCATGTTAGGCCTTGTTAGGCGCGATTCTTGACTTTTTGGCGCTAGGCTCCTAGGCTCCTAGGCTCCTAGGCCCTTTTTCTTTTTGGGTGGGATTCTTTTGTTAGCTTTAGCCCTCCCACGATTCGACCAACGCCTGAAGCACCAGGCGGATCTGTATCGAATTAGGTGAGCTTGGGTGGCCACCCGATCCTTGTGTTGAAACCTCTCACCCTTTGCGAAGCAATGCAAAAGCCGTGGCAACCAAGGACCATTTGATGTGCTCGCTGCGACTGCGGTGCTCTGCTTTCGCCCCTCCGGACAAGAAGCTGTTGTATCCTGGCCTTTGTATAGCTAGAGGCCTGTGAGCAAGTCCCAAGCTATGTAGCTTCTATGTTTTGATGTTGACAACGGCATGTTGGCTGCTGATTTCTGAGCCCCAGCTGGTTTCTTGACTGTGCTTAAGCGGATGCCAAGGTATGATCCACTGAAGAAAGTGGTGGATGACTACAAGGAGGCCTTGCCCCAAACATGTCGTGGTGTTTGCTTTTTCTTTCCGGCTTGCCTGCAAGCCACACTCGGGCCGTCAAAAAGCGTCGTTTGCGGGCCCTCTTTGTTGTGTCGCTCATTCAATGCAACTTGCTCCAATTTTTCAGGAGGCCAGCGGTGAGGCGTCAGGCTTTGTTGCATCCTTGATTTCTTTATGGAGCGGCTGGGGCTTGAGGCTTGCAACCGGATGGGGTACCTGGTTTCCGTTGCCAAAAATGCTTGGCATATTGGTAATGTAGGGTCATGCAGGTTTGTCTTGCTGCGCAGAGGGAGCGCGGGGGCACTGGTGTGCCCCATTACCCGGCCTCCCATAGAAGGAGGCACGACAAAGGCTAGCATGCAGTGCCAGTGCTGCCAGATGCCAAAGGAAGGTTCTCAAAGGAGCCAGTCTCAGAACCAAAGCATCCGTCTCTTCGACCCCTTGCTTTTCGCAGGGGACCCGAAACGGACATCCCAAGTGGCCCAGACGTATCAACTTGGGGTTCCCCAAATGACCAGTGGCCGTCTCTCGGAGGCGCTGACGCAGTGCACCAAGATCGAGGGCTTCAGCAGCCTGGCGTCCCGGCCCTCCATGCGGCTCTACCCGGACGGCAGCTCGGATATGGCTGCTGGCTATTGCTGGTGGCGTCGGGCCTGGGGTTGGTGGCCCAAAAGTTGGCGCCACAAGAAGCCACCAGAGGATTGAGTTTGGGTTGTCTTAGACCCCCCCACAGTGGCGCATGAGTGTCATTTTTTGTTCTCCTGATGAGTTTTCCCTTTATCCAAGCCAGGACCTCCAAAGCGGCGCATCCCAATAGGAGCAGGAAAGTCGGGTGGCTGGTTGTGTCCAAGGGGCGCGCCGTCTTTTGAGGCTGGTCCCTTCCATCATTTGGGCACAAGCTCGCATCTCCAGTCTAATATGGAACCAGACCTTTCGGGGTCCTGGAGGACGATTTTCCTTGAAAAGGGATCCCCTGGGTTCCATGGCAACGTGGAGAAAACAGGTAACCGGGAATGACTTTGAAAGATGCCTCCACTTTGCATCCCACATCGCAAGGCACTCGTCGCTCTCCCCGAGTGGTTTTCTCTGAAGCCAGAGGCCACCTCCTGCCGGACCACGTGGGCTGGCAGTATGTCAGCGAGCCTGGCCCAGTGCGGCAAGTGCAAGATGACTTGGAGGATCTTATGGCGCCTCGCCCGGGGTGCCGACATCGGTACAAGAGTCATACCAAGCCCCTACCCTTCCAACTGAGGCCCCAGGCATGGAGTTTAGTCCCCAAGGGGCTAGGATGTATGCCGCACATTGTTTTCACCCTGTGAATAAGATCACGGGAACGCCCCAAAGAGTCTGCTCAAAATTGAGGTAGGCCAAAACCGTTCTCTTCAAACAAGAAAGAGCTCGGTGTCTTGCCTCTACTTCTGTTTGGCTGAGTTGACTTTCGCAAACTGCTTTTGGGGAGCAGCTTTCCATTCAACGCACATGCACGCCTTACTGATGTTTTGACTGAGATAATTTATGCAAATGTGGCACTTTCAGAAATTTCAGAGCATGCCTGGCTTCGAGAAGAATCGTTTGGAACAGCTAACGGTTTGGCGACTTTTCGTTTTGGAGTTGGAACAAACTGGCGTTGTTTTTGTTAGTGACTGTTAGTGCTTTGGGCTGACTGCTTGGCATATTGCTTTGCCACTTCGAAAGTAGCGCTTTGCCAAAGCTTTCATTCCTCAGCCGAAACACAAATAGGGACAAATACTCTAAAAAGCGCCGCCCAGTTATTATCGGGGTTGCTGCCAAGAGTACTGGCCTGCAATGCCTTGATGCGTACATGTCTGGCAGCAGCAAAGAACGCCTGATGAAGTTTCAGCGAGCCTCCCAAGGTGGAGTGTATTGTTTATTGATAGACACACACACACCATGACACACCACAAAACAAAGGAGGTTTAGAGGCGTACATAGAGGCTTACAATCAAGCCGTGTATGTCGCTTAGAGGCGTAAAGGGGCTCAGAGGTGCATATAAACCGACATGTCAACGATGTCCACCGAAGGGTTCTCAACTAAAGTTCACATCCATACAGCTGTCCTCTCGGGGATGTGCCATAGGCCATTGAGCAAGCCAAGCCGTTTTCACTGAGGTGACGGCCGAGCGAGCGCAGGCACACGGGCTGAACTCATTGCAGCCTCGCGCTTCTCAGAATTGTGGACAATGGTTGGCCCTGCTTTGCATCCAAAGGTTGATCCCTGACGTTGGGAAAAACGCAGGGGTGATGTCACTGAAGGATGGTTCCTCTGGGAGATTTGAGGTTTCTCAGAGTGCAGGCGCAATGATGGACACATGTTTGGGTGTTTTGGACGGGTCATACATGGACTTTGGAAGGAGCTGCCATTGCCGTTGCTCACATCTCGAGATCCATCCTTTCTTCCCCCTTAGTCCGACGCAATGGACAGCTGCAAGAGTACTTAGCAGCAGCTTGTTTGCTTGTCATTCCTTCTCAGGAACCGATGAGGTCCCAGGTCTTCTTCCATTTTGTGTTCAGCTATGGGTCGCTTTTCCTCAAATTTGGAGCCCCAGGTTTTCTAAAAGCGGCGTTGCCTTTCAGGGTGGGGGGCCCAACTGGGAGGTGATGCTGGAGAGCCTCATCGCGCCCAAGTCGACAGCCTGGAAGCGCGGCACCAAGAGACAAGTTGGCATCGGTTCTCTGAAAGAAGGCAGAGCTGCTGAACTGCCGAACTGCATGGGGGGTGCCATCAACGAACAAACTGCAGGGGGTCGCGGGGGGGGGGGTTTCCTGGGTGCCGTCAGTTTTTCACGGATGTAGCCGGCGCTCAGGCACACTGGCCTCAGGGTTGGATTACCAGTAGTTGGTTGGGTTTGAATCCCCGGGTGGCAGGGAAAGTGGTTTCGAAACCAAGCACTTGCCACAACCAGAGCCACACCTTTTGGGAGGGGTTCCTAGCCATTTTGGGACCCCAGCCATTTTGCAGGCTCCAACCCAAGCCACCGCCTCCCACGCCCCGGCGTCCGGCCGGCCGGCCGGAGGCCCGGGGAGCAGCGGCCAAAGCCCTCGGCGGTGCCGATGGCCAGCTTCGCCTACAGCCACGGCGTGAAGAGCATGGAGGCGGTCCCGGACGCGAGCGAGCGAAGCCATGCGCTGGGCGTTTTTTTTTTTTTTTTTTTTTTTTTTTTTTTTAAACTCCAAAAACTAATAATAATAAATAATAATAATAATAATAAATAATAATAATAATAATAAATAATAATAAATAATAATAATAATAATATAATAATAATAATAATAAATAATAAATATATAATAATATAATAATATAATATATATATATATATATATTATTATTAGTATTATTATTGTTATGTGTTTGTTCTTTTTCATCGGTTGTCCTTTCTTTCAGGGAAGCCTTCTTTGGGGTTGCTTTTTTCAAAGGGAATTCAAGAGGAACCCATAGTTTGTTTTTTGTTTTGTGTTTTTTTTTGGGGGGGGGCTTTGGGTGTCCATCGGTTTCTCAGCCAACTTTTTCGGGGTTGCTTCTTTAAAGGGACCCCACGAGGGGTGGGGGGGGGGGGGAACGGGCAAGCCCCCGTTTAAAACGCAAACCGCCCATTTCTTGGGCAGAGGCCGGAATTCGAAGGGACGGATGCGAAGGGCCCCCGCACAGGAAGGGGCTTATGTGCCCACAGAGGGCATTTGGTTTGGACTGTTCCTCAACCCTCTGGGTTCCATAGAGGATGTTGCTCCCAGCCTTGCTGGGGTTCTCCCCCAAGAATAATTTGAGTCAATAATTGGAGTAAATAATTTGAGCCACAATCAAAACTCGGGTAGATGAAGGTTAGTGAGGGACAATCCCCTTGCCATAAATAGCTGCGGATATCCGCCTTCTTACTTCTCTACATGGCTCTGGGTCGACCATTTTCATACCGGGCTTTGATTATAACTCATTTGT